GTCCACCCAGTCCTTCGGTGTCGCGTGGGCCTTGGGGACGCTTCCACCACCGCTGAGCAAGCTGCCAATCATGTAATCTTTCATGATCTGAGAAGTGATATTGACACGATCAACCTGAGTCATCTGACCGATCTTCTCAGCGAGAGTCATTCGCTTCAGCAGGTCCTCCACTCGAGCCTCGACAGCCTGTTTCGGGTCCTTGTATAAGACGTAGTCATTTGATTGTTTGCCATTATTGATCGGAATTGATCCTTTTCCCTTGCCCTTCCCACTGCCCCTGCCCCTGCCCCTGCCCCTGCCCCTGCCCTTGGGATTTGATGGCTTCACCTTGCCACGGAAATTCCTTTTGTCGCGTTTGGATGGTTTTGCTTCTGTTGTTGTTATTGCTGCTGCTGCTATGATGATGAATAATAGCAGCATCCCCATTAAGGGGAGTCTAATATTCCTCGAAACCATTTTTTTTTTTTAATTCTTATTTTCAGTAATTATCTGCCAAAAAAAAAAATGATAAGAGAGTCAGATTTCATATTCTTAGGAAGATAGACAGAAAGAGATTATAAACCATGTTTATTGAAATTTTAAAGTAAGAGAGATGTATACATGCAACAACATTCATGCAAAGAAATTAAATGTGTACTAGTCTTGTGTGTATGTGCAGAAAAAAGCCCTATCTATGGTCTCCATATATATGTATGTATTTATACATGCCAAAAAATATGGACTCAAGTGAGCATATTAAGCTTTTTCTAACCATTTGGGTAGGACTGAAATGACCATCATCTAGGGTGGTCTGGTCTCCATATGGTTTATGCTATGTAAAAATATATATATGTGTATTAAAAATGTATAGATATGTTTTAACTAAACAAAAAAAATGTATAAATATGTACTGCATAAATATATATATATATATATGCATACACATATTTCGTATTAAGGGTTGTAATCTAGTTGTATCTTTTCAATTTCTATTTCTTTACATATTGAATAAGAGAATTGTTTTGTTTTCCTGCCAAAACAAAAAATTAAAAAAAATAAAAGGAAAAAGAAAAAGTGTGCTCTAAGCTCCTAGATTATGTACACATAAATCATGCATTATTAATATATGCATAGGCAAATACAAGAGAGAAAGATACGACATAATTGCAAATGAAAATGCTTTTCAATCTGTGATATATATATATATATAAAGCAATACAATGGGAAAGCAGAAAAAACATACCTACAACAAAACACAAAGGAAATAGAGATTGGAAGGACCCTTGTGTTTTGCCGTTCCGCAGAATTATTATTATTATTTTATTTTATTTTTTTGAAAGGTGTTCTGCAGAATTATTGCAATGGAGGAGGAGATTTATAGTGCTCTGGGTTTAGTTACTCTACATTCGGTTCCACATGTTCTCTGAATGTTGCTTTCGATCTTGACCGTCCAGCTGGGTGGAACTACTCCATTAGCTCTTTTTTGGACCATTGGATCTGGATAAGTGGATATAAATAGGTGGGTTTGACTATCATCACAAGGTTAAAAAAAGAAACAAATTGATGGATATGGTTTGATATTAAGTTTAGGCAAACTAATACATGACCTAAATTTAGAGGCATGCTAATTTTGATAGTTCTATTTCTATTTTAGAGAGAACTATGAATCGGTCAGATAAGACTCATTTGGGTGGAAGAAAAAATAAAGGGCTGTTCGTTGTGCTAAATCTCAATAACTTTGCTTTTAAATATAGTTCAAATTACTTTGAATTATTGTTTTGTTTTTAATTAGAAATAAAATCATATATTATGTTTCACCAAAATAATTAACACAATAGAATTTGAGAAGTAACCGTGGTAAGCATTTCAGATTTCAGACTAATATATCTCCAACCTTAAAAATCTTAAACATTTTTTTAACAAAAATAAGACATCATCATAACATTAGTCTAATTACTAATGTCATCATAGCGTCAATTTCATTCACATCAGAGTCTAACTGGCGTATTTCATAATTTTTTCTTTTAAAATTTGTTTTATATATATATATATATATATATATATATATATATATATATATATGCATGTAACAAGTAACAATTGAAAAAAAAAAAAAAAAAGAAAAAAAAAGAAAAGAAAAGAAAAAAAAAAAAGAAAGAAAGAAAGGGAAATTTCACAAAACTCCTAATACTATTATTTTTTTTTTTTATCAAATACCCTTAACCTACTTTAAAAAAATCTGAAATTATGAAATTTAATCACATGGCACCATATCTGTGATTAAATGACGAAAATACCCTTCTGATATACTAAATTAATTAAAAAAACCAAAATATGTGTTTGTCAATTACAAAAATACCCTTAGTGCATGACATTTAAGTCACTAAAGCACACAACGCGATTTTGTGTATATATAATATGTATATATATTATTCACCTCCCTTCTTTTCCATCTCACCTTCACCCTTTTATTCCATCTCACCTTCAACCAGAAAACCATAGTTAATTACAAACCAAATTAGTAAGAACGCACGGAATCAGAGCTCCAGCTGACGAAGGTGTGACATGCCAGTCCGACATCATCACCGAGCTCCGCCTCCTTGGCATGGGGCTTTCCGGCCAAATCCCACCACACATAATCAAAAATCTGACCCACCTCCACACACTCAACCTCTGCTTCAACGCCCTCTCCGGCCCACTCCCAAACCACCTCGCTTCCATTTCCGGCCTAACAGCGAAACCTCCTTTCTCACCGAGGATGTTAAGGACCACTTCGAAGGAGCCAAACTAGCAATTAATTCTGACGCCGATCAACGATTAATTGAGAATTGCTTATTTAAAATTGAGAATTTTGTCCAAGTCATGAACTGTTATTGGTCTTTGCGCCTAAAAATCTATTCTACTTCGTGCTCCGGGCACGGAAACAACGATGACGGCTCTGAAATTTTGTGTTACAAGCGTTCAATTGAAGACCAAATGGGAAAGAGCTAGGTTTTAAGAAGCTTGGTTGGGTAGGTTTTAAGACCAAATGATGAAATTTTGTGATTCCATGTTTATAATCAGATCCAATTGATTGCAGGTATGGGGTCAGGAATGGCAACCCTAAAGCTTGTGCTGCCAAGAATAAATCATGAGTTTTTTAAACATTTTTTTATTTGGATTTACACAATTGAATTTTCAAGATTGCATTTTTAATGAAGACAAATGATCATCTGATTTGGTCCTGAATAAATCAATTCTTGCGCTGTATTTGGTTGTCTGTTGCGACGAATCCAAAAAAATTTTAGGAAAGTGAAATGAAAATTAAAGGCCATTTCAAGGGTAACCTAAGAAGTTGAGAAAAAAGGGGCCTGCTGATCTAAAATGATTCACACCATGCCAAAACTCTTGTGTGGTCCGTGACAGGAATTTGTATTTGCAATTACCTCAGAGTTTGAATCTGGACTAATCAAACACTTTTCCAACTAGGGTTTTTGTCTTCTGATGACCAAATTATGAACCTTAAGGTGGTGTGGGTTGGGAATAGTGGTGGCAATTACGAAGATGGTGATGGCGGTGCTGCAGCGGTCGCCGGTGATGGCGCTGTCATCGCCGGATGCAATGGAGATGAAAAAAAGAAAAATATATATAAAATGTGTTAGTTTGAATATATATATATATTTCACTAAGGTTATTTATGTAATTCGTAAAATACTGATTTTTGTCTTTTTAAATAAATTGTTATATCAAAAGGATAATTTCGTCTTTTTATCACAGAATTGGTGTAATGTGAACAAATTTCTTGAGGGTTTTATAAAAGTAGATTGAGAATAATTGATAAAAAAAAAGTAATAGTACAAAGGTTTCGTAAAATTTACCCTAGGAAAAATTACTTTAAAATTTTAGTGTTAAACGTTTGTAATGCAATTATCAAAGGGAATATTCATACTCCACCTTAAAAGTGCACAATTATCAAAGGGGAGGTAATAATATTTTTTAAAAATTACACAATTACCCTTCTGGTTATGGTTAGTCCCACCTCCTCTATTCAATTTTTAATATTTTCCAACCCTTTTTACAAGAACCAACAAACAAAATATCTCGAAGCTCGTAAAAGTCTGTTACAGTTTCAACCCTTGGAGAAGAACGTACTAGTTATAACTCATATGCATTTAATATGCTTTATTACTCGGTTTAATGTTTAATTGATGACGTGAATATTATTATAGTGGTATATTATATATATTTTAATGTGCTGGGACTCAAAAATAAAAAAATACTAAAAACAAAACCAAAAAAAAGTTATTTAGTTTAGAGTATAAAAGATAATTAAGGTATTACTCAATAGTCAATAAGGATAAAGTATTTAAGGGTCTTTTTGTCATTTTTGTTTAGAAGAAAAGAATAAGTGGAGTGTAGGCAAGAAATAGTGGACTGCAAATGGGCTCCCTTACCAAAATCCCTTCTATTTCATTATAACAATGTATTTTCGTTCATGCAAACAATGGATGACAAAATGTCTAATTTACCCCCTCCTAAACTATCCCTCCCTCCCTTTCCTCTGCCGTCAAGATTAAGAAAAGAGACAAATAGCATAAATTCATATAAATGTAATATCTTTTTCTATTTTCATATGTCTGTAAATTAACAAAATTATGACTTCCTATAAGACTAATTTCATGAAATTATATCATTTGTGTTATTTTAATCCATGACATTTTCAAAATTACAGTTGGAATATCATCCCCAGAGCAAAATAATAATAATAATAACAAAAATAAAAAATTTTAAATTAATGATTAGGAAGCTAAAGGTCCAAATTGCGGAAGAAACAAACCAACAACCCACACGCCAAGAGAAGTATCAAAATGACCATAACCATAAGACATCAATGACCCCATTATTGGAAGAGATCAATATAATCACAATTAGCCTTTCAATTTGAAATTGGAATTTGTGAAATTTGAAAAAAATAATTAAAAAAATTGAACCAAAATTTTTTAAAATTTCACAAATTATAATTTCAAGACTCCAATTCCATGTAACCGAACACACCGTAATCACTATCATTACAATTTTGTGATGTATTTTATGAAATAATTAACATAAACATTATGGTTTAAAAAAATATATAAAAGGGATCATTTCCTGCTCAACAGATTACTCAAATATAAACTGTGCAGAGTCTAAAATTTATATTTATATATATTCCTTAGGTAATCACTCTATTAATATAATTTTATGATTTATTTTATGAAAAAATGAACATAACCATTATGGTTGCACGAAAAACGGACATTTCCCTAATCAACAGATTACTCAAATACAAAAGCAGCTAATGGTTTCATCAGCTAGATAGCAAGCAAGCTCTGCAAGTACCTCTCTACACTGTCAAGTCCACATAACTCCTTCACAACCGGCATGGTAGCAGGGACCTCCAACTGGAATGGTGGTGAATCAGATGCGTCTAGCTTGCTCCACGAAAGAAGTTGTTTTCTGGCTTCTTTGATGGCTGCTCTTGCAGCACAGTGAACTGAAACTGCCAATAGTAATGGTGGCTCGCCAGAAGCTGCACAATACAGATTCAATTCAACTCATTAATCGATTAAAATACAATCTTCCCATTCAATGTGGTGAAGTATGTAACCGTGCCTGAGCACATGACAGGCTTGCACACGCATGCAAGAGAGAAAAGAGAGCTAGCTAACCAACGGGCTAGTGGCCTAGCGGTATCTGCCTCTTACCTCCCAAAGGGAGGTCAGGTGTTCAAGTCTCACAAGAGATGTGTGTGTGTGAGTACCGTGCCTGAGCACATGACAGGCTTCCACACGCATGCAAGAGAGAAAAGAGAGCTAGCTAACCAACGGGCTAATGGTCTAGCGGTATCGGCTTCTTATCTCCCAAAAAGAGGTCAGGGGTTCAAGTCTCACAAGAGACGTGTGTGTGAGTACCAATTAGGAAAAAAAAATAAAAATAAAAAATAAATAAATAAATAAATAAAGAGAGAGAGAGCTAGCTAGGGATCGATTTAAACGTTTCGTCATTATAACCGTAATTTTTATTTTTTTTCCACATTATAACCATAAATGACCAACCATAACTATTGAAGTTCAGAAATACAAATGCATGTGGTTGCCATTTGCCTCTGTAATTGGGATACCAATAATTCTCAAACTCAAATTGCATATTTCAAGATCCGGAACCTAGATCTCTCCCGTGAGACCCTTCAACTTGCAATGAATGATGAATCCCATCACTGCAGTGTGAAGGATTTCATGACACGGGTTGAATCCATTTTGCATTCTCTCTATCACGGTATCACCTAGTGGCTGCAACAGATTTCTTAAGAAGACCAAATTTTGTGAGATATAACTTGTAATTGGTATTTTCAGTGTCACAACTAGTCTAATCGATGTCGGAAGCGGAATGGCAATGTTGGACAAAGTGCAAGCATAATTCGGTTTGAAGAGAACGTCTTATAGGACGGGTATGTTGAGTGAGTACACTTTATAGAATAATACTTGGTTGGGTCCAACCCAGATTAGATGAACTTCATCCAACCTGCTAATGTGGCCCAATAAATATGCAACAAGTGTTAAAATTAAATTGGGCATTGCCTAACTTTTGCTTTTGGACATGTGTTTTAAATCCTAACTTTTGTTTTTGGAAACTTGTTTTAGATTTATTGGGCCACATTAGCAGGTTGGATGAAGTTTATCCAACCTGGGTTGGACCCAAGTATTGTTCCACTTTATATTTCAAGTTTGGTGGGTTAAAGACTTAGGAATATTGTTTTTTTAAATGAAAAATTCAAAATCTCATAAAGTCGGACCAGTCCAACTATTTCGCAACAGTCCAACTTTCAGTTAATGCATTCTGTAAAGTCGGACCAGTTGCACTATTTCACACCAATTCAACTTTCTCGGTTAATGTAGTTAATGCAGAGAGAAAACTTCTGTAAAGTCAGAACAGTCGCACTATTTCGGATTGGACGCACTTTACAAAATTTAAAAGGAAAGTTCAATTTTTGTAAAATGCAACATTTCCTTTTTTTATTAGATTTTAGGGAGATGTTTTTGCACGAATTAAACTTGTCTTCCAAGTATATCTAGGTCTCTCTAAAAATCTATATAAACTCTCTTTTACTCCTAACATTTTTAGAGTTTTAAGGAACAAATATTCATACAATACTATCAAATCAGATTTTTCTGTGTTTATTTTTCGGTGAGAGCACACACTATTACACTTGACTGATTTAGGGTGATATTCTCTATCTGATCGGAGTTGGAGCATATTGAAGGTTCAAAGGTTCTGTTCAGAAAAGCAAGGTTTTATTTACCTTCACACAATTAAGAATTTAAAGGAAAGGAGGAATTGATCGAGCTACGAAGCGGACAGAGCATTTGCGGAGTGTTCGTATTCTACCAGCAATCCTTCTACAAGAATTAAGGAGTAAGACTGAAGTCTAGTGCATTTGGACGGGAGAGTCGCAAAGCCAGAGGTGTTCAGTAATTAGTTATTGGTAGAGTGGAGTGGGGGTGAGCCTGAGTGAGAGTCCATTATACTTTGTTTCGGAAATAGTGGATCGTTTCGCTCAACGTTGTGTGAGAGTCTCCGAGTTTTTTCACTCAATTGAATGAATTTCTCCAATTAGGGTTTCCAAGCTAAAAATCATGTTGTCGTCTCTCCAAATTTACTTTACTTGTTTTACTTTTCTATTCATATTTTTGTTGTTTTGGACGTGAAATTGTTGATTGTTGTGGGTAATTTAATTAATCACGAAAACAAGCAAATTGACCTATTCACCCCCCCCCCCCCCCCCCCCCCCCCCCCCCAAGTCATTAAAGTATTGTTCCCAACTAAATAAACTAAACAGCTTCTGCACCGCGCTACTCATACTTGGTATCTGAACAGGTTGCTTGACATATTGAGTAGATTATATTTGTTGATTTAGTTGTGATTTTTGCATCATGTCTCTTTTTGAGTCTTTTGTTAATGTTTTGGCTAAATCTTATATTTTTTAATCTGTCATAGGGATGCATGTTGAGTGGTCTAAGTTGAAAAAGAATTTTGAAAATTTGTACGAAAAATTGAAACTTGCGGAACTTGACAGAGATACTTATAAGATAGAAGATCTAGTCACCAGTAAAGATTTAGAAGATCTTGGTCATTGAAAAATTGAATCTACTTGATAAAGTTAAATCTCTGGAAAAGGAATTTGAACATGTTAAAGGTTTTAATAAATCACCTGAGCATAAGATTGATAAACTGAATAGTGATCTTGTTAAAACTAATCAGTCTTTTCAGAAGTTTAATTTTGACACTTGTAAATTTGATAAGTTAAAAGGTGTGGTTAAAGAAATTAGTAATAACAAAGAGTTGGTCTCAACTTCAAAGGTTTTGTGTTTCAAAAATCAAAAGATGTTTTTGCAGAAGTTGAAACCAAACCTTATATTATTACTAGTCCCCCCCTAAACATTTTGGGAGAAAATGGTCACATTAAATTTAAGTGTTAGAAGAGGAAAATTGAACTTGGAAAACAAAGAAAGATTTTTGAAAGTTCAAAAATCTTGCTTAATAAGTTAAAGAACTCGAAATAAAGTAACAAGAATTGAAAGAAAAATTGCATAAGTCTTGCCTTTAATTTTGTGCTTAAATCTCATAAAGCTAAGAAAAAGAAGAACAAGAAGAATAACGAGAGAAAGCCTTTTGAGCCTTATGACACTTTGCTTTAAATAATTAGGAAATCATCAAATAATGAATCTAAAGTTGTTTGGATAAAGAAAGAAAGTTTTAAATGCTTGGCCTCGCACACTACACTTAGAGCACTTGGTACATGTGGTTAGTACTGTGAGATGTAAAATTGTAATTGGCATATTTCAGTAATCAAAACAAGTCCAGATCGAGTTGTAATTTTTCAATATTATTAAGTCTCGGTTTCGAAGCGAAAAATTCAAGTGAAGCTACTCACGACAACTTCAGTTCAATAATGGACAACAATTAATCAAGGTAAGTGTGTGAGGATCACTTAAAGTAGGTTTGAAAGTTGGATTTATATACTTAGGGTTTTCATAAATCCAACCAGTTGCACTAAACTTTTTAACCGGTTGCATTTCCTACGTGAACTCATGAAAAATCCCACTGGTTGCATTGTGAAGTTGAACCGGTTGCATTTCTCTGAACCAAAAAGGAAAGTTTTTGCTTTAACCAACTTTTGTTACTTTTTAATCTGAATTAGAGAGATGTTTTAGCACGAAATTGGAAATATTTTCTAACCCAAAATGGACTCTCTTAATTCTCTATATAAACTCATATTCACACACAATTAAACATGGCTTTTTGGTTACAAAATTCAAAACCCTACATAGCCTCTTTGTGTGAATTTCAGAGTTTATTATTATTATTTTTTTTTTTTTTTTTTTGAGAGCACACACCTATACACTTGAATGGTTTAGGATGTTGTTCATCATTCGATTGGAGATTGCGTGATTGAAGATTCCATTGCTACCGGTCATAAAGCGGAATTTGTCTTCAACTTCTAAAATTCTGAGTTTGAAGAAAAGGAGGAGAAGATGACACTTTGAAGGGATCAAGACATTTGTAGAGTGTTGGTTGATCTACCTGTGATCCTTCTACAGAAATCAAGAGTAAGCCTAAGGTCCAGAGCTATTGAACGAGAGAGTTGAAAAGCCAGGGATGGTCAGCGATTGGTTTTTGGTAGAGCGACAGGGTATGAGCCTGAGTCAGAGTCGACTGTACTTTGCTTCAAACATAGTGGATATTTTTGCTCAAGATGACACAAGTCCTCGAGGTTTTCCCAGCACGATTAGTCTATTATGCGAATTAGGGTTTCCTCGCTAAAAATCCGGTGTCACTTTTAAACTCACTTTTACATTACTTGCACTTTAAGTTATTATATGTGGGTGTTTAATTTATCTTTATTTCGGAAAATTTAAATTAATCAAAAATCGGATAAAATAGCAAGTTGAACATATTCACCCCTCTCTAGGTTGCTTATCCATATTATATTCCACAACCATTCAGCACAATGCAACTCACAAGTACTTTGATAGTGGTGCTCTAGGCATATGCAAGGGATAGAACATTATTTGCCACTTTTAAGGAATTTTTTGGTCATTTTTGGGTTGTTAATCTTAGGCCTGAAACTAAAAAGACTTCATATAAATTATGTATAATAGAAAGCTCATTGTTAGATACTTTAGAATCGTTGAAAGTAAATGGTATATCCTTAGAGAAATGGAGAATTTGGAAAAAAATTGACTAAAGAATTGATGAAGGATACTTTTTGGGGTATTCACAAAATATTCGGACTTATAGGGTTTTTAATCTTCGCACAAATGTTGTTATGGATTTAATTAATGTTGTGTTTGATGATGCAAGGCCTAAGGTAATCTATACTTAACTTGATGAGGAAGAGATCAATGGTGATAATGTAGGGAAAAATGTTGATGAACCTATAGACAAAGAGGTAGAGAGAATAGTTGAGAATGTAGGTGAAGATGTTGTTGATGAATTAGTAGAGAACACTGATGAACCTATAGATATTCTCACCCCACTTCCCAGGTTAATATCTGGGGAACAAAACTCATTTTTTGTTGAGGAGAAACTAATCCAATTCGGAGTTGTTGATGTTATACCAATAGGTGATAGAAGAAATTTTTTTGATTCATTCTGATTAAGCTTCCTTCCAAATAATCTGTAAGTTCTTCTAAAAAATTGGGATAGAAGATCTATATCAGGGTGTTGTACATTTGTGGGAGGAAATTTGGTAACATGGAAGAGTATGAAGCAAAAAGTTGCGGCAAAATCAAGTGCTGAGGCGGAATATATAGCAATTGCTCATTCAGCATGCTAGATGATGTGGGTAAAATCCCTATTACAAGAGATGAGTTTCTCCAATGATAAATCCATGAAAATGATTTGTGATAATCAAGCTGCTATATATATTACTAGTAAACCTGCATTTCATGAAACCACAAAACTTATTAAAGTAGATTGCCATTTTGTGAGAGACCTGGTGACAATTAAAAAGATAGTCACTATAGTTTCAGTCAAGATGTCAACTGGGAGATCGTTTTACTAAGGCATTGGGAAAGGGCACATTTGTTGAACTATGTAACAATATGCTCCAGCTTGAGGAGGAGTATTGCGAATTAGTACAATAATTGAGGGTCCTATTGTAATTATTATCACATTATATAATATACATAATGAAAGCAGGCCCTACACAGAAAGTCTCTCTCCTATTTTTTGTTCTGCTATTCTTTTTCTCCTCTCCTTTGTTTTTTTCTTTCACAATCACAACAATTTCCATTTAGTGATAATTAGATGATTGCACGTCATTTTATTAATTTTTATCCTAAACATATATTTTATTGTTCCATTCAAAAGTTTTAGCCCCACACATTTGATAAGAGAAATCTAGAAGTACCTCATTCATCAAGAAAGATAATTCAAATTATTTTAGATAAAGAACAGAAGCAACTAGAAGAACATACCTTTAGAGGAGAGAATACGTTTTTTGTGATGTCCGCTGTTCAATATCTCAACGTTGAATTGTTTGGGTATGTTGTCGATTGTTGGGATCTTGTACGTCCACGTGCCATCCACAACCACCAATCCATCTGAATTAATGAGGTATTCTTCAAGCATAAAAAATCCAATTCCTTGAACAAAGGCACCCTCAATCTATAAGAAACGATTTTTAGAAGTTATCGAACCTTGTACTGTCAATTGTTTAGGCCAACAAAATAAAGATAAAACAGAATTGAGAAATAATTATAGTTAAGATCATCCTAACCAAATTGCATGGCCATTGAGTATCCATTCTCAAAGATTTAAAAAATTTGCTTACAAAATGTAATCACATGAAATCCGACCACACACATTGAATACAAAAGCTCAGAAACAAACAACCAATGATAAGTAATACAAAAAAAGGAATTGAGGTTGAAATATTATAGTCAGCCTAACCTGTCCTAAATCCACAGCAGGATTCATGCTCTGTCCGCAGTCGTAGATGATATCTGCTTGCAAAATTCTGGTTTCCCCAGTTAGAAGATTTACCTCAACCTGCAATATCCACAGCTCTAGTCTTAGGATTCACATTGTTTAGGATTCATGCTAAACATTGCAATCAAATAGGGCCAGTCCAAGCACATTCAAAGAAATGCTGATTTTGTTCAACAGAAGTACAGAGGTAAGAAAGAAAAGTATAACAGACAAAACTTACCTCACTCACTGCAGCACCATAGTTTAGGTATTGCATGGATGCTAAGTCGGGAACATAGTAAGTACTTTCTGACATGTTCACCGCTTGCAGATGCGACTGCATTTAGAACAAAGAAAAGGGATGACATAGCATGCATCTAATATGTGTACTAACCAGGAGTATCTCTAGAAAAAATGCAACACAATCTCATTCACAGTAATATACAGAACTATTTTATTATCACAATTTCCTACTTAATGTACTTTCAACAAAGCCTTCTCCTAACACATTAAAAGAACAATAAAATTAAAATAAATAACTTCTCTAAACAATTTAGAATCAGCTATAGAAATCTTGTTTTACATTCCCTTTCTATGGACACTGTTACAGAATTTGGTTAGTTCTGCTTATCCTAGCAAAATCTTTGATATGACCATGTCATTTGATTTCATTGGTGTGGTTATTGACTAATTGTTCCTCATTACGACAAAATCCAATTGTTTTCCAATTGACTATCAATGCAATTGATTTTTCTCTCATCTTATTCTCAATTGGTAGACCTCAAACTTCTCATAACGTGATCTTCCTAATATTTTTCTTACTTGCCTTGCCACACATTTTTTCTTAGTATATTCATGTTTATTATTTGGCAAGATAATTAATAAGCTTATTTGTAATATAAATCAAGTGGATCCAAAAATAACAAGAATCATTTCTCAATTTGGAAAAACATATTTTTATTGACACAGTAAAACCTAGACAAATGTTTGCAAGATGCTGCATAAAATAATAATTATCCATTTGAAAGTTCAACAACAATTTAAGTTATAAAGCAATAACTTTACAAATTTGTGCAGAATTTCTTTGTAGTGGTATATAATAGATATATGTGTTAGCATATATGATAGCCACGATTTATGGAATGACTTACCATATTAGCCATTTGATTATGCTATAGAATATGCCATAGAATATGCTATAGAATATGCTGTGATTTGATTTAGATTTGATTTAGTTTCTTTTCTTATAATATGAGAATGTGCTCTTTATATCTATAAATACTAGAGCCGTTAATGAGTGATTTATCATTCAAACCTTTACACAATTATCTCATTTCTCTTCTTTTTATAGTTCTACTTGGTATCAGAGCCAGGGTAGTCCGACCGCAATGAGGGCATTTCGAATTCGGCACCACCCATTCAGGAATGGTCTAAGGTGACATCAGCCATCCAGGAGGTGTCGGGTAAGCAGGGTGGTCCGACCTCAATGAGGGCGTTGCGAATTTGGCACCACCTATTCAAAAATGGTCTGAGGAGACATAGTTGTTTCTTTTTATGGTCTGAGGAGACATTGTTGATTCTTTCATCTACATTGTTTAAACATATGTATTACGGGGAATGGTCTGAGGAGACATTGTTGATTCTTCCATCTACATGTTTTAAACATTTGTATGAAGGAAAATAGTCCGAGGAGACATTGTTGGTTATTTATGGATTAAGGAGACACTAAGGAGACATTGTTAATTGTTTATAGTCTGAGGAGACATGATTGCTTGTTTATAGTCTGAGGAGACATTATTAATTGTTTATGGTCTGAGGAGACATTTTTTATTTCTTGATCGACACTTCATCTGAAAGAAAATCATCACTAGTCAGATTTGCACTCCATTTGTCGCAAGCTCTCAGCAGCTTGCAGACGTTCTTACAAAGGGAGTTGGCAAGATTGTGTTTGAGAATGCATTGTCCAAGTTGGGCGTTTTATATCTCCACACACCAACTTGAGGGGGAGTGTTAGCATATATGATAGCCACGATTTATGGAATGACTTACCATATTAGTAGAGATTTGATTATGCTGTAGAATATGCTATGATTTGATTTAGATTTGATTTAGTTTCCTTTCTTGTAATATGAGAATGTACTCTTTATATCTATAAATACTAGAACTGTGAATGAGTGATTTATCTCATTCAAGCCTTTACACAATTCTCTCATTTCTCTTCTTTTTATATTTCTACTGTATGGAATGTCTAGTATATGTGAGAACTAAATAAAGAATTCTAAAAAAGGCTCCATTAATGGTTTTTTTTTTTATAAGCTAAGTGCTCCATTATGATCAGGTAGCAGACACAATAAAAGCACCAAAAGTGGCCTCGGATTTTAAGGCTTGAATGGTTCTACAGCCATTATGATAGTTTAATTGCCAAGTCCAATCTAATTAGCTGCATTTCAGTACTTGTTTGATTGAGCTGAACTGACCATCCACCTTGATCTCACAGCTCAACGCAAAGTGTTCAAGGAGGATTTATATCCACTACTCCCTCCGTCTCAAATTAAAAGTCCACTTTGGGAATTGTGACTAGACAAAGGGAGCATTTATTAATTTTCCATTTGATATTGCCATCATCATTGGGTACATTTGATATCTTGACATGTCCAACACAAACACCATCTCCATAATCAATAGTTATATCTCATTTCAATCTTCTGAAGATCACAGTCTCAAAAACCTCTTATGCAAATTGGATTTCTGATGCAAATTGGAATACAGAAATCACATCAGTTTCTGTCCCCATATTGTGTACCCTCTAATGAGTGCCTAGGACGCAATTATTTCATTTATATGGCCAAAACATTTTACTTGACTATTGAAGACAAGTATTCCATGTAATAAAAAAAAATGTAGCCATCCTTGGAGACCTTAGCTAAACTGTATGTATGACCAGTCTTACCAAATTGAAAATGAGAGACCGCTTTTGTGACAGTTTATGATGGTTTCAGAAACTTTAAGTTGGAAAAACATTACTGTCTGAAATTAACTAGTTAGTGTACATAAATATTTGCTGACTTGATATAGGACTCTGAAGGAAGTGTCTTAGATAAGGGAGCACTAAATATTTGAGAAAGACAACATGCATCAGCAGAAATAAAGCAAAAGTAGGATAAATTCTTTTTAAGTCTACTAAACCTCAAGAAGCTGAGGAATAAAGACGTGGAGAACAAAATTCCAAAAGTGAAGAGAGCTACCTGGGAAATTAGGGCATCCCATTTAACAGAACCCATCTGCTCCATCAACATTTTCTTAACAGGGATTAGTCTTTCCACCAAAATATTGCAGCAAAGTCTAACTGCTTCACAGCTTGATTCAGATGTTGTGCTCCCAGCAGTAAATCCCCCTTGTATTAAGCTCAAGGTATCTGATTGTATGACCCTTACTTTTTCCAAGAGGTTTTCGGTTCCATCACATTGAACTGAACTGAGAGCAAATGCAGTCATCTGTTTCACCTTCGTCCATATCCCCTGGCCCAGCTCAATCCCTCCAACTTCTACAACAACAGATCCATCTGAAAGAATGCTTACCTTTCCTGGGGTTGGTCTCAATGTCACTTCATGTGTGATAGGAACTCGAGAAATACCCCTTTTCTTCCATTTACTACACATATTAAACTGATTTGTCATTTCAACCCTCCAGTTGAAATTAGAAGATCTGGCTAACTTGTTCCAGATAGAAGGCAAAGTATATTCCAGAGGTTCACCTGCACTACCCTTGTAGAATACATTAAGGCTTTCAAATGTGTGGAGATTCATTTTCCTGACAGAATCCACCTCTATTGAAAGCACAGATGCAACATGTTCTACCACAGACTCAGCAATGAAAGATGCCTGAACCTCTCCAGGGGCCCGCATTGCTGATTTAGTCGAATGGTTGGTCTTGCATATCTTCATATCAAAGGATAAAGCGCCCCAGTCATACTTTTTAAGTGCACCCATCATGTTTAGTGGCAGGATAGGACTTATATCTTCAGACATCCCCGCATTTATTAATATATCAAGGTGTAAGGCTGTGATCTTCCCATTGGATTTGAACCCTACACTGTATGTTATTTTCATGGGATGCCTTCCTCCTGCCATTATCATGTCAGTCTTGCGATTAAGATACATCCGGACAGGGCGGCGCAATCTGTGTGCTGCAAGTGCACATGCTGTAGCAACCTAAAATATCACTAGGTAAGTCCTTGAATCAAAAATGTTTATGAATGAAGGACAGAAACGGGGAATTATTGAACAGTAACCAAAAGAAACAGGTAATGAAATCATCAAAGAGCGCTAGATTAATTCAGATAGTAACAGAGGATACAGTCTTTCTGAAAATAAAATTTGTCTTGGATATCATGTATGTAATTCAGGATCAAAACTGTAATGGTATCAAATAATGCCTTAGAATGAGAAAGTGTACATTTTCTTCATTTCTTTCCATGTTAACAGTCTGAGGCCAGTTTTATTATTTTTATAGAACCTCCAATATTAGACTAAAAAAACATTCCTCCGACAGATAATTTCTTTTTTCTTTGCAACAGTCTGCATTTTCCTAAAAGCATTAAATAAAATATTAAAAAAATGCACACGCATTTTTTTTTTTTTTTTTTTTTTGATAATAACATTTCAAAAATAGTGCTCAAAGGGGAGTGCAGCCCGAGAAAAAACAAAGGAAAGACCAAGGCGGTCTGCTATACGATCACTGAATCTACAAAAGATACTATATCACTGTACCCAAAATAATGAAGTATTGAGAACTTAAGCACCCAAGCTGGAACCTTGTATCCATCAAAGGGGCGCCACCCTCCAAGGAGATCAACATTTGCCAATTTTTCTAATGATACATCAAAAGGTAAGTTTACAATTTACTGCTTATGGTCAAAAAACACTGAATTGAGTTTTGATTTTTATCAGATTATAAAAATACTTTACGTAACTAAGTCGCAAAAAGCCTAGTTGTTATACTTTTACCATGGTAACAACCAATTAAATAATGTGCACAGGTACAATCACATACAAGTGAGCATAGACAGCATAGTAAAAATCACGTGAAATACAAAAAAATACCATGACAGAGTGCCATTTGATTGTAGAGAAGAGAAAACAGAAGTCTATTGAAAGTTTCATGACAGATATTTCTAACACAAATAAGTTGTAAGACCCAACTTATCTTTAAATTTGAATATCATACAACTAGATATACTTGAAAAAAAAAAAATTCTCTTCCCACTTCCAGTGACCAAAGGAGAGAAGGAAAAGTAAAACCAAAATGGAAAACAAAAATAAATCAATTTTTTCTCCAACTGCAGCTTAACTAAGTACATATTGAAGTAAATGAATTGTCTTCACCTTTTTCACTGAATAAGGAAAATCTCTCATTTAAAAATTTACGAAAAGCTTATCATTTTAGGAAGCTGCTGGAAAAAATGTTAATTTCTATGGTACTTTTTGGAAGAGGGAAAAGGAACAAAATAAACCAAAAATTACTCCAGAAGCATGGCACAGGAAAACCTCTCAGAAAGGATTAAGTACTTTCTCTGAAAGGTAAATTGCTAGTGGTTATTTCTAAAAATTAAAAAATAAAAATAAAAAATTTGGTAGTATACAAACGGGATACTCACAGGCATAGCTCTTATTGCCTTGCCACCAAAGCCGCCTCCAACTCTTCGTGTAATCACACGGACATTATGCTCAGGAATCCCAAGACATTTTGCAATTACAGAATGTGCATACTCAGGGCACTGAATAGAACTGTAGACCACCATGCAGTTGTCTTCATCCGGAACAGCAAGGGATGTTTGTGTCTCCATATAGAAATAGTATTGTGACCCAAGTTTGATCTTGATATCAAAAGTCAATAAGGAATGCAATAATAAGCATACGTCTTAAATTAAATTAACGAATGATTCTTTAAAATTTATTAATCAGCGTAGTTGTGTCAACTTTGTAAGGTATCATAGTGAAAAGTTAGTTGTCACAAAGAAGAAGAAAATTTTCAAAAGCAAAATGATCACAAGTACCTCAGCAGAGAGAATCTTGTGATCAGCTTCAGCCATTCCTTTTGAGATATCACCAACCTGTGCTGGATAAAGGAAAGGAGGGACCTCGAAGAAGCTAGATCTCTCAACAGCTTCTTCAACAGTTAAAATTGGTGGTCCTAGATTTTCAAAGTCATAATCAACAATGGCAACATTTGCTGCCATGTCTGCAAGTTTTTGTGTATCAGCAACCTAAAGAAGTTAGTCAGTATATTAGAGAAAAGGAAAAGGAAAATTCATTTACGTGTCCATCGAAAGTATATATTCAGTAAAGAGGACTTAAATCCAAATGCTCGTAGATGAGCAATGAAATAGGGAATTACCACAAAAGCAAGACGCTGGCCAGCACACATGGTTAGATCCTCAGCAAATAATGGTTCCATTCCAAATATAGTCTTAGATCCTACATTCACTCCACCGTTTGGGATATCTCTAAAAGAAATAACAGAATTAACTCCATTCGGCAGTGCCTTAGACTTAAATTTGACATCCTTTACCCGTGCCAGTGGCTTTGTGCTATAAATGAATGCTCCATACAGGCAGTTTGTTGGAGAGGGAATGTCGTCTACATACACAACTTCACCTAGACAATTGGTTCACGAATCACGATACAGAGTAAGATTAGAAGTTTCATTGTTGAGAGATTGCGGATATAAATCAGACAAGATAAAGTAACAAATGTTCTCAATAAAAACACCAAAAGAGACATGACGAACCAGAAGCCTGGTTGGCAGCACCAGATTTTGTAATCGGCTCACCCACTGGATAGTAATCTCTTCTTGATTCAACCTCCTGCTTTGCTGATAACAGCAATCCCGGTTTTTCAATATGGTCAAACTGTTTATATCCATTCACCCAGTCATTTGAACAAGCATCAACCAAAGGGTGAAGGAACTCAAAAAGAAAAGCAACAGCTAAGCTTGACCTATAAGCAGGGCTCGAACAGCCATCTTCAGGTACCACAATGGCCCTAACTATTTTAATTGCTTCATAAAGAACACCAACAGTTAGCATTTTCCCAGCTAAAAATTCCTCAACCTCCCTTCCCCTTATTGCATGTTTCGTCCCATAAGCACCAAAAGCCAACTGAATGCTTTTTAGAGTAATTTCATTGGAAGTTTTACAGTGAGAAACTTCAGCTAAGAAAGCAGCATTTAAGTATGGCAATGCATTTCCAAGGGGTCGTGGTGCAGCACGATAGGTTTCAAACAGCAACTTAGTGTCAGTGTCAGAACAAATGTCTCTAGCAGTTTCCCAACTTGGGATTTCAACACTTAAAAGTACACTTTTGAAATCCAGTGGAGGCCTTTTCAAGAACTCCTCCAGTGTAAGCTTTTCGTGTTTGGAGCCTGTAATTATATTTATCATCGAACCAGCAGCAAGAAGTACTGTCGCAATATCTGATGGAAAATAGTTTCTCTGTGCCATCACCAAATTTCCCCCTATGCTAGCAGAATTTCGGATGAAGCCTGAAGCAACCTTCTCCATGTGCTCAGCAATTTTACTGAACACTACTTCATCTTTTGCATGAGATACACCATCATATACTTCCTTCAAAGCTTGAATAGCTTTAGAGATCGTCACAGTTGCTCCAATTTCAATTCCCATGTCATCCATTCTAATCATTGAGAGTTCAGGGATGTACCTTAGATCAATGTATTTTTCGTAGAATTCCACTTCCTTGTAATAACCTGAACCCGTATTACCAAAAACTAATTTCGTTTGTGTATAATTTTCAGCCTCAAAAAACTCCATCAAGCTTTGAAGCTCTTTAACACTAAGAGGACTGTACCAAGAAAATCTTTCAGAATTCAAAATCATTGTAGACTTAATTTCAGTTTTCAAGAAATCAGGAAAAATAAAACTCTGATCATGTGGTTTATATAAAGGTAGTCTACTTACTTTCACTTCCTTGCTCTCTCCTTTTTTCCAAAAAGAATTGATCCCCAAATCCTCCATATCTACATCAGATGCAAAACTTTTGCAGGCATCGGCAATGGGACGATAGCCAGTACAGCGACAGAGATTTCCTGCAATAGACTTTTCAGCTTCGGAAACTGTCAGCTTGGAGAATCCTGGAGGGGGCTGACTCCGATGTGTTTTTTCGGCATTAAACAGAGCTGAGAACAACGAAACACACATTCCAGGAGTACAAAATCCACATTGAGAAGCATGGAAACCAGCCAACCTTTCGTGAATCGGGTGAAACCCATCTTTACTATTCCCAAGGCCTTCACTTGTTGTAATTGAACACCCAGTTATAGTGCAAAGAAGTGTAAGGCATGAACTCACTGTAAAGCTTTCAATTTGTTCAAGCACAGGGTCATACTTTGACAGTAGAACAACACAAGCACCACAACCACCTGTGAACCCAAAAAAAAAAAGCAAAAGAAATACTGTCAATTTAATGAAAATTCAAAGCATTTGAGTAAGGCATGAATAGACTATACCCTAAATATTGACAAAATCATCAGCAGAACCAAAAGATTTTTCACCAAGTTTCTATTTAATCAATGAGAAATTTGCAGAAAAGAAATGCATATTCAAAATCTGACGTTTTCAATTTGATCTATTTTTCCAAAAATAAAAGAGAGAGAGAGAGAAATTAATCACAAAGTCAGTCAAAATTTAGGCACAACGAAGTAGAGGTTTTTAAGTAGAGGGTTTGTGTTGTCTAAGATCAGCATTCAAAATTTTAATTTCACTTCGTTTCGTACATTTTCTCAGTAACCAAACATTAATGAAATTGAGCATACAGATGCAATAGTCGATAAAAATAAATAAATAAATAAACAAAACATTATTCTAAACAGGAAAATCTATCAGAGTCTAATCAACCCCCGACTACAATACCTTCTTCTAGTAATTTAAAAAATCACCCACAGAAAAAAAAACATTTGTGTCAAAAACCCATTATTCCAAAAAGTGAAAGCAGAAGAAAGAAATGACAATCAACAAATAAAAATTCAAACAATGCAGATAACACATTTTAAGATAGTCAAGTTTCAGAAGAAAAAAACCAGTCAAACCCATCAAGGGAAAATAAACATAGATTGAAATTTCCCACTAATACATCCATATACATATGCATATATGCACTCACATACACACTGATATAGAGAGAGATACCTTCACCGCAACTGAGTTTGACACTCTTGAAACGGGTATGAGAACGCAGGAATTCAAGCACAGTGGTTGAAGGGTTGACGTTGAATAGCTCAAACCTCTCTCCATTGACAGCAAAGAGCAGAGTGTTTCTTGATGGTGGTGGTGGTGGTGTTTCTCTCTCCTCCATATCCAGGACCCAGTCGGTTCAGTAACTGAACTCATTAGCACTGAGCAGAGTAAAAAGCCCAAACGTTGAAAAAACAATACATTTGGGTGGTCAATGTCAGGATGACCCTCTATGAAGTGGGAATAGTTGTCATTTCGACAAGCCAACGCTTATCAATACATTTGGGTGTCAATGCCAGGATGACCCTTTTTTCTCTCTTTTTTTTTTCTATTTTCCTTGGTATGAAAATTGGTGTTTTATGAAGTGGGAGTAGTTGTCATTTCGACAAGCCAACGCTTATCACTACAATTTAGTTTTTTCTTCTTTGGGAGAATCTTGTGACAGACAAATAGTAAGAAAAAGTAAGACTCCATAATAAATAAATAATATATATAAATATATAGTAGTACTTGAATACTCCCAGTCCCACATAAAATTTTTCCTTTTTTGAAATCTGACTTTTTAAAATGTAATTTTTAATATCTTTTTATTATAATTGTAGAAAAATAAATTTTTATATGTATTCTTTTACCGTAGGTTCACATACATTTATAATCCAAGTCACATAATTTTTTTTAGAAGAGCTACATAGCCTACACACTCCCACTATTACTCTCTGCGTACGCTTTTACTCCTGATTCCACTATGTATTATCTAAATTTTTTTGTTTTCATGCTCCCGCTCTCGCACTTGTTGTGTGTGACTTAGTTTATAATTTCTAGATAAGAGGGTAAATTAAGAATATAAAAAAATAGTACATTAAATTTTGAATTGAGATAATTATTTCGGAACAAGCAAAAAATAAAAAAGTGAACATTTATTGTGGAACGAAGAAGGATTAGTTTTAAACTTGAATTTCTAAACAACTCACCTATAAATTTCTTTTGTATATTCATTATAGTTATTAATGTATTTTCTTCTTCTTCTTCTTCTTCTTCTTCTCTCTCTCTCTCTCTCTCTTTGTCAATATTTTTTATAAGTATTTTTTTTTTTTTTTTTTCAATGATGATGATATCAAGCTTATTGAATTACCCCTGTCTGACGAACCCAGAAAATTTTGTGAGTGGGGGCAGCTTTTAATTTGTGGGGGCAAACTTATATAGTATGTCCATTTTTAAAATTTTAATGGGATTTTTTTCATAAATTTTTAAAATTTTAAAGTACAAAATGTAAAAAAATAAAATTCGATGGGGTGAATTGTAATTTAGTGGGGCATTTTCATAAATTCTCAAAAGTTTGAAGTATAAAGTGCAAAAAAATAATAATTCAGTGGGAGCAAAATATAATTTTAGTGGGGGCATTTTCATAAATTCTAAAAAAATTGAGGTATAAAATAAAACTATAAAAAATCCAACGGGGGCATCCGCACCCATTGGTTAGGGATGGCAATTTGACCCGCCCCCGCAGTTACCCACCCGACCCTGCATCGTTTTTGGCAGTTTTGGGGGAGCGTTTTGCTTATTTGGGCCGAGATGGTTTGATATAATAAAAACTTGCGCGGATTTGGTGCGGGGGCGGGGGAAGGTCGCCCCGCACCGTCCCACCCCATTTAGAAAGACAAATTACTTAAGTACCCTTATTTCATTAATATATATATTTCCTACTATGTATTAAGTACCATATATAACAATATTAAAGTAAAAAATAAATTTGATTAAAATGAAATTTGCAATGGTTAAGAATTGAAGATGAGGAGGGAAAAAAAATGAGCAAATCTATTTCTACAATAAATAAATTATGGTCTTAAACGGGGCGGGGCGGGGCGGGTCCCGCGGGGGTAAAAATGTTAAACGGTTATGGGGATGGGGTGGAAAGTACCCCTGTTTTGTGGTTTTGAGCGGAGATGGGGGCCGGATTTTTAAACGGTTGTGGGGGAAGGAAAACCCACCCAAATCTACCCCCGCTGCCATCCCTACCACTGGTCCTATGTTGGGTCCGTGCCGACTCACACATATTCACTCCATCTATCCAACTTTCTAGATGTAACCTGAGGGTCTTGTCATTATGTTATCCTTTATATTATTTCAATGTTCAAAATGCAATTCCAAGTTTTTGGCAATCTTGAGAGGAAGAGCCTGCAACTCACAACAATCTGTCACTGTTGTTATGAGGCTGCTGACACCATTGATCACCTGTTTGTGCTTTGTTCTTAAGCTGGTTCTATTTGGCTGTGAGTGTTTGATGTTTTGCAGTTTGGTCAGCCAAATGTGCAATCCTTGGATCATCTGATGGGCTGGTTCTTACTTCACTCAAGAGGCAGATCTCAGAGATCCAAGTTTTTTCAATGCCTATTTCCTACTGTTTCATGGTCATACATGGAGACCAAGAAATTCTGCACTATATAAGGTGTTGAGGTTGTATTGGACACTCGGATACGGTTAAAAGTGTTTAAAAATTTGAATATTGTATTTTTAAATCGGACTGGCTAGGACACTGTGAGGATGTGTTTTGCTTTCAGGATACCGCGAGATAGTTTTGTAATTATTAGTGTTCTAAAAGAATGGGATTCAATGTAATATGAAGTATGTGTTGGGTTAATTAGAAAGAAAATAAAATTTAAGAAAACAAATATCTAACCCTAAATCTCAAAATTAGAGATTTTATTCATGATTGTACGGATCAAATGAGCAAAAATTAAAAATTATATATATATATATATTAATTATTGTTTTGATTCATTTTGCATTTGTGTTTTATTATTATTTTTTTTTAATTTGTTATATTGCTTACTCTCGTCCATATCCTTGCTTCTTAGGTAATTACCTATTTGTATATTAATTATTATCATTTTAGATTAAATATATTAAATAGAGATTATAATTATTTGGGTGAAATACTCTCACCTTCATGAGATTTATTCAGATATGTCTCAGCTGAAATTATTGTCAAAATAGTCGTAACTTGCCCTGAGATTTTTCAAAATAACCCCTTACACCTCTCGAGGTTTGTCCAAATTTCTCTTACCACCCCTAACATTAATCAAGGAGTATCGGTGACTATTTTGATAATAATCTCAATTGGGAGATATTTGGACAAACCTCAGGGGAGGTAGGATATTTCACCATAATTTTTATACTCAATAATTTGCGAATATTTCATATAAACAATGAGTTGATTTGATTTTAAAAAATCTTGATAAGGCGATTGTGTATGTATTATTGTACAAGAATTTTAGCAAGGATTGAACAATTTATTATGCATGTACCCTTTTTATTATTTTTTCTTTTCTTTTTTTTTCTTTCTTTTTTTCCATTATTGTGTTCGTTGACAATTATGGTGTCAAATCTTAAAATATTTCGTTAATTCATCATTGAGCACGCGTAGTCTTCCTATTCCTTGTGCACCAAACAATTATTGAGTGAATTCCGTGTGACCCTAAAAGAATTTTAACACTCCACCTCCAAGATGCAAGGTAAGAGTCTTGTCTTAATACTCTATCTTAAAATTTTATGCAAAACTTAAATATTCGAAAAAATACCATATTGTAAAAAAATAAAAATAAATAAAATAAATAAATAAAAAACTTTTGATAATGTTAAGATGAATACCACATCGATGTAATGCGTCATGGACTTAAAAAAAACCATGGTGATAAGATAAATTTTGTACCCCTTTTTATTCATGAAATGTTAAAAAACTTGTGATAATGTTAATATTAGTATAACATGGATATACGCCTTTAATTCCAACATTAGGCTTGATATATTTGCTTTCTCTTCCATTCATGAGTGGAATTTTTAATGGATTAACCTGGGCTATAGCCGAGGTCCAATTTTTTTAAAAAAAATTAGTATTACTATTCTTATTATCAGTCCAATTTATATATAATCAATTTTTAGTACTACTCTTTCTCTTCCTATAAGCCCAATTTAGCCCAGTCTATAGTACTACTCTTCCTCTTCCCATTAGCACAATCCATATATGATATGTAATCAATTTTTAGTGTTCTCAGCCACTTCCTCTCAACACGTAGTAGTATTTTCCCTCATAAGATTTCGCCCGTTTGGGGGTCTAGTAAGGAAATTGTAGAGAGTTTGAGAAGAAAAATTTCTCTGAGATTGATTTTTAATTTTTAATCCTGAAAAACTTAATTTGATATACAAGACCATCATTGTTTTTTGGTCTATTTTTTAATATATATATATAACATATTTTTATCGTAAGAATTATTTCGTTCATCTTCAAATTTTCTTATTATATTTAGTCTCTCTTACTTTGCAATCCTGCCTTCGCCCTGCTTCCATTTCTTAAAATATATATTCATTTATTTTTTAGGCCTTGAAGAACGACAGAGGTGAACAAAGAGGGCAAAAAAATAACATGGATAAATTTAAAAATAATATTTAAAGGTTAAATATAGTAAGTGAAATAATATCTTAATAGAAAAGTTCGAAAATATAATTCATGTGACCCACATCATTCATATAAAATTAAGGTGATGACGAAGAATGATAGAGAAGAACGGGTTCAAAATGACAAGCACCCGAATAGCATCAAATGAAAGGACGAAAATAAATATGGGGACTGGAAAAAATGAAGGAGACCGAAAATGGGGACAAAGAAGAAAGCAGAATGAGAGTTCAAGAGGACGAATATGAATGACAAACGCCTAAGGTGGAAAGATAATTATTGTTAATATGAAATCACACCTATGAAAATGACAGAAACTATCAATCATGTCCTCACTAGTGTATAATACGGAGTATTAAAATGAATACCACATGAATATAATGGGTAGACTCAAAAGGAATTGGTGCAAAGATAATTATTGGTACTCCTTTTCCTTTTCGTGAACGTTTGAAATTCACACCCCCTATGAAAATGACAAAAATTATGTCCCCACTAAGTATATAATATTAAGATGAATAAGACATGGATATAATGCGTAAACTTAAAATGATCATGGTGCAAAGATAATTATTGTACTCCTTTATTTGCATGACCATCTTGTCCTCGCTATACTAATTTCAGCATTCGCTAAATTTATATGTTTTTATTCATTTATAATATCATTAAAATTATTTGAATAAAATGTAAATAAAAAATTATGCAGAACTATATTTATATTTTTAATTTTTTTTTTTTTTGCAAATAACCTCTAATTTAATTGCCTCCTGAACTTATTCAAAATTATGCAATACAATGTATAGTCATCTGCATTGCACATTATTTTGCATTTTATGACAATTATGCACCTTTTGTTGACCATCATACCCTTTCAGGCCTTGATCATTACAAAGTCTGCCCCAAATCCCCAACATAACCATTTTAGCCAAAAGTTGAAAAAACTACATTTGTCTTATCACTGTTATTGTTGTTGGTGTGTGCGTGTGTTTTGCTCCATTTACTTCCAAAATCACATCCTATAGCATGTTTAGGCACTTCACTTATTTATTGGTCCCGGACCAATCCAGTGACACACAGACAAATGTATCAACTATATTAAAAATTATTACCTGATCCCGGATAGACATGGATTTACCTTATGCCAATATTTTTTTTTTTTTTACCAATTATTTTCTTCTTTTTGCATTCAATACCTATAAAATTTTAAAATTACCTCCACTAAAATTATAAAAAAATTCTACTATTGCAACCGTAACATAGGCCACCCCTTAAATAATTTCCTGGTCCGCCCTTGGTCCCGAGACCAATGGTCCCAGAACCTTTGTTCCGACCAATCACATGCTGATACAAAGAAAACGTGAGATAAAGCTGACACATTTGCTTATGTGTCAGCACGTGATTAGCTCGATCAAGACCAATAATCCTGAGACTATGCAATAATTTCTTCAAAGTTATTCAGTTTTTTTACTTACGTGTGTTGGCTAAAAAGTGGTTGGGACCAATAGTCTCGGACCATGTAATAATTTTTCAAAAGTTAAGACAATTACTTTGGAAACATCTTGCAATGACTAATGAAACTCATCACTCCACACAAGAACTCTTGATCCAGCCGAGATCCACCAGATACTAAACTATGATTCACCAATAATCATGATTTGTGATAAGTACACAAAACCTATTACTTCATGTACCAAAATAAGCTTTTAATTAGACTTTTATATTATTTAAATATTCTTATATGCTTGTTTTGTGTTTTGTAGGTGTTAATGCATGAATGGGAAGAATGCAAGCAAAAATGGAGAACAAATAACAATTTGTTGTTGCAGCACAGAAGGTTATATATTTTACTAAGCAAAAGAAAACATAAGGAGCATTGTAGCTGAGATGGAATTGTGTTCAAATGTCTTTCATGAGTTCCCAAGTTTGAATCCTTCCAGAGACGAGAAGCATTTTTGTCATCCATCTAGTCAGCATGCCACATCATTATCAACAAAATATATATATATATATATATATATTGAAGGAAGAACTAGAAAAGGAGGAGAGAGAAAGAAGAAATGAGAATAAGAAAAAGTCACGAATTGGTTAAGGAAGGGAAGTCAACAATGAGAGTAGCAGAGAGGTGGCGTGAGAAAACGAAGAAGAAATTTGGGCAAAGTCATCATCACAGCCTACAAGTGGGTTACTTCCTGTGGCTATTAATTGCATACTTCGGAGGCAGAGAATGATATAGAATTAGATAGTTACAAATAGGAGTAATTTTTGAGAGTTTATTTCCTTGTGTAATTTTCTTTAAAGTTTTGTTTAATTTAATACAAGTTATTTTAACAAATTTCATTCTCATTTAATTTCAAGCAAGTTAGTTTCATTTACATGCTTTCATTTCTTATTGATTCTCATTTAAGTGTTTAATGTTTAATAGTTATAATTTCATTTCCATAGTTGGTGACAAATCTCAAAATCAATGTTTTTAAATCTCTTGTTTAGAAATAAAAACTCACCTTGAATACGTGATTCAACCTTATTATTAGACATATTTAGTTAAACGGTTGCAGGTATTTTATCTTGATATGGAGTGTATTTGACTATGACAAATCCATAAATACAGGCTTATCAATTTGAGCATAGCCATAAAGGCTTGACTAATATGAGAGAGAAGAAATGGTAGAAAAGGAAACATATACTCATATATTATTAGCCAATCTTACATTTACATCCATCAGACAACTTTCAAATTTAAACTACCTAGAGATTGAGTAATCATGCATGTCTTCAAGTTATTTTGGTTTAGGAGGATATCAAAAGATGAACAATTCTGATAAACAGAGACAATGACATAAACAAGAGCTACCATAGATTAGTTATCTTTTTTCATTTGGGAACTCCAGGCTCACAGCTACCCACTTGCCGTCATCAACGGGTACCAATACAGTGCCCTTGGGGAATGCCACATCTGGAATGCATGTGTACACTCTAACCTTGTTGGAGACCAAGTAACTCCTCACCCCGTTGGTTTTTGTTGTGTTCGAATCTGCAATTGAGTGGGCGGCGGTGTCACGAGGTGTCACTGCAGCTGTAGATGATTGACCTTTGGGTGAGGAAGGCAGTGACTTCAGTGAAGATGAATTAGTGTTTCCTGTCACTTTAACCACATTTCGTATTGCAGGAGATGGAATGGAGTTCTGAGAGCGGACTTTAGCATTGGCCACCATACGTTGAGCTTCAACTTCATCTGTAAGTGACATAAATGTCATCAATAATGAACGATTGTTGTAGTTTTACGCTAACGCCATATCAAAAGGTCTAGGATTAAGTAACGTGTGTTAAGAAAAATGAACGATACATGCAAAAGAACTAGGAAATCGGAGGAAGACACTACCTCTACTTTCTTTAGCCTGTTCTTCATGTTTGACAGTTGAAGATGAAACCAATGTACCTCCATCTTTGAGGTTCTGTTGTGAATCAACAAGAGTGAGGGAGCCCATGCTAGGATTGAGCTCAAGAACTTCATGTGCTGGGGAACCAGAGGACGTGAGATTGCCACTTCGACTTGATCTACCTGAGCAGAGAATGAAACTCGTCAAAAGATTTACTTTCTCTACAGGCAATGCTAAGGGCATCCCATGCACTGCCAACCAAATCAGCAGATGGATTTTTGGCAGTAGATTAATTGTACTTAATAAAAAGTAAATCGAATGAACACATCAGCAAGTTAAATAAAACTGTGTTGCAGAACTACAAAAGTGCACGTGCGCGCGCGTGCACATAGATACAGCAGTAACTAGCAGAAGAAAACAACAAAATCCAGTTTAACAGTTTGTTTTTTTGTTCCACCATCTCCTGATGAATTCGTGAAGCGGTGTCTATACATTCAACAGCTATTTTATTTTTAATAAGAGAGTCTACAGCAATTAACATTCCCCAAGAGATTGTTTATGTATTAAGCTAATAAATACATGACAGTGTTCCTTAGGTATAATTTATTGAAAGCATTGCTCTTTAAAATCCTTAATTCGTCCTTTACATTTGTTTTAATTTTTAACACAACTGTAACATTCTGCCAGATAGAAAGTCATATATACTAGAGGGTAGAGAGTCACTAGTTTTTTTAAACCGGGCAAGCAACGTATTATAAAATCAACAAACAATACATTCAGCATCTACAACCTCTCTCCACCTACCATAATGTATATTCCCAACAGTACATGATTTCTAGTGGAGAAGAGCCATCTTTCCCCACTCATGAGCTGCACTATTGGTGACTCTAGGGGAAAAAGACACTTGAAAGTTGCTATACAATGATATTAACCTCTGTATGTCTCTATAACAGTAGTTTCAACTGGAGATATACATCCAAACCCATTCAATGCAGGGGCTCTTTTTCATAAATTTAAACTATTCATTAGATAACCTTTTTTTTTTAATAAAAAAAATTAGTACTTAAAGGTAACGTATAACACCTTAACTCAATCTCATTAAAACTCATTTCTCACTCAGCTTTACTGAGCTCCTTTGGGAGAAAATAAAGTGATAACAACGTTGTTTCAGTTATTTTTCTAGTCAGAATAATTACACATCATTAACCTCACAAATCATGAGAGTTTGTATGCTTGCAGATCATGACATGAAGAAAGCATAAAATATACTTCAATGCATGCTCATAGAATGTGAAATTTAGCCAAAGGAAGCCCTCATGTGAATTCATACGCTTGCAGATCATGACATGAAGAAAGCACAAAATATACTTCAATGCATGCTCATAGAATGTGAAATTTAGCCAAAGGAAGCCCTCATGTGCTATGTTTTAAAGCATATGACATAGATACCAGCAAGAAGTGATAGACTTACGCTTCATTAAGACAGAGTAAGCAACCTCTGCAGCATTTATCTCTGCCTGTTTCTTGGAGGACCCTGCTTTCCCATTAAATTTCTCTCCTTCCACTTCCACAGTGGAAAAGAATGTTGGCTCATGGGCTGTACCAACTCTAACGGTTTTATATATTGGCAAGGTGAAACCTTCATTCTGAGCCAACTCTTGCAAGTAATTCTTAAAAAAGCGAATGTCATTCTGAAAAGAAACAAATGCAACCGTATCATATAAGAGAATCTTACAAAATACAGTCGTCCTGGAAAGGATCAAATCAATGAATAAATGTAGTCATTTAAAACTGAATCACATTTACAAGAAAGCAATGCAAATGAGTACTGATCTTCTTTAACACCCCTTGCTCCCACCACACCAAAAAGAAGGGGAAAATAAGGGTAAAAAGGGAAGAAAAAGATGGTAAATGAAATAAATGACTAGAACAAGTTAGAGCAAACTTGCCACTTGCAAAGCATCCAGTGACAGTGACATCAAAGCAACCTTTGCAGCAGCATGCTCTGACTCCTTCAAAGTCTTAAAATAGTCTGGACTCTCAAAAGAATGACCATCAACAGTAACTGTAGCCTTAAAGCATAGGGCATGAGGTGGGCCCGCCCTTATAATACTATATAAGGGTGGATCAAGATTTTGTCTTTGAGTATAGCTCTGCAGCTTCTTCTTGTACTGATATGTTAGACCTAAGTGCAAGGCAAATGTAAGACATTCATATACTTGTTGGCAGAAGCAAGAAAATAATTCAGAGAGAGAGAGAGAATAAAAAATGAAAAGGTGATCATAGCATGAGGTCAATCAAACATAATATGAGAAATATTTCAGTAACAGAATTGGGAAAGAGAGGGGGGGGGGGGGGAGGGGAGGGGGGTGTGTTTGGTTAGGATTAGTAAAAGTATCTCCACAAAAATTGCCAACAGTCGATTAAATTTAATCTAGAAGTCCACTTTATGATGACCAATATCGTATCAGCCTTAGAAGTATAAAATGGCAGTCACTGTTCAGTGGTTTGGTACTAAACTTAATGAGGATGGCAAACAAACAAAAGGTTAAGTCATATTCAAAAGCTCCAAAGATAACTGCAGTGGAACATTTTACTTCAACAAATAGGCTTCCAGTGTAATTAGCCATCCTGTACATAAAAAGGTGATAAACAAATTGAAAAATCATATTAGATGAATTGTCATTCCAATTATGGCCTGAATATTGATGTAAGAAAAAATTGTTATTTAACGAAGTTTTGCTTTTTCGCTTCATTAATTTTTCAAGTGCACACTTTTTTCTTAATTACAATTAAAAACTAACAAGGATTTTTGACTTAGTGATGTTAAGATTAATGCTAGACATCATAAGCAATTTTTTTTTGTGGGCCCACCTCACCTTATTACACTATATATTTTTTGTGGATTGAAAAGACATTCCATAGATCAGGTCCCACCAAGTTTCATCTAGTTTCATAAATTCCTTTGACTTCAATGTTATCATTGAAATGTACATAGATTAAGAGGTCAAAAACTTTAAAATCATATGAAAATTTTTGTCACCTTAATCCAATAAGCTCTCTCTCAGTCCACATGATTTGTGTGATAAAATGAGTTTAAATGGTCTACTCGAAAGAAGAAAAAAAAAACTCTAATAATAATAAATTATGATGTGTATAATGAAATTTTTTGCATGATGCATATCAAAAAAAAAAAAAAATTCTTAGTTAATGCATATCATTTTCCTGATGTATATATTAATTTTATTGTGTTTTAATATGAGAGGAGCATTATTTCCTGGGAAAAAAACTGTTACATACTTTTATGCAATACCAAATGAATACATAGAAAAAACTATAATATTTTGTCAATTTATGTTAAGAATAATTGATTTTGCGCAATGTATCATGTTGTGAACCAATGATTGGATTACACAAGTCATAAAAGAAAATTATAACTACACTACCAATAAGTGAATATAGTAAATATTTCAAAAAATAGAAATTATTAACAGTTCCAAATTTCTCACCATCCTTGAGGTTCAAAACATTTGCATTGATCTTAGCACTTTTACATCCATTTCCAGTCTCTGATATTCCAGCATTGGGCTCTGTTTTTGGAATTGAAGAACCTGTGCAATGATTAAGAAAGATTTGTAATAGCATGTAAACATTAGCTAACATGCACATGGTGAGCTTGAAATCCATTTTATACATATCACTTATTCCTTCTACTATCCCACTACAAGATCAATTTTTTCCCCATTGTGCTCTACTTACAGATGTAAATCACTTTAAGGACTCATCAAATAATTATATGATATAAAAACTGCAGATGGTTACATCAACTCAAAATAGAGAACTTTCTGGCCAATTATTTGGAGCATAGCAAATTGTGAAAGAGGAAACCCAAAAAGATGTTTGCAACCCTTTCCAGTTCTACAAATAAGCGCATAGGCTATAAAGCCAACTTGAAATTAAATATAAAAAATAAAAAACATATAATAGTAGTACTTAACAAGCTTCAACAGTGAATTTATTTTCACACCAAACTCCACATCAGTCAGGCTGTTCTTCAATTAAAGCCATGCATCTGAATATCTGATGCCTATAATATATATATATATATGGGTTTAATGATCTACATAGTTGTAAGAATTTTCTACACTAGGACACAGTTATTATGTTGCTTATTGTCAGTATCAGTTCTACAAAGGGATCAAAACATAATCTAGAAAGGGATCAGCACTTACACGGACTGCATGCTTTACATTATTAGAGTTATCATATAAGTTATAAGGCATGTGTAGCCAATCTATCTCCAGAACTAACATCCTATAAATATTTCTTGTACAGAATTAAGGAGTATAAGAAGTCTCATGGAAAACAAATCAATTTTAAGAAGGCCATTGTGTTCTTGACAGAATTTAGGTGTACATTTTTTCCCATAACATAAGCAAAGAAATTTCAGGATCTTACAGACTTTCTATTTTATTATTTTTGGAAGGTTACAGACTTTTGATTTTGTTTCGGTGGTTACTACTTTTTCTCCATAACTCCCCCCATCATTGTGTGTCTTGAAATGTCATGTAGAACACAATAAACCACAATAATTTTTCAAGGTATGTCCAAAAATTTCTTACTAATTTACTCAGTCCTATACTGATTCCTTACATCCTATTTTACCAAACACACCCATGATGAAGACTAGAATAAGTATCAACTTCAGATCAACTAGAACAATATTAACGTTTGCATGATGATGCATCATGAAGAAAAAAAGTCATAAATATGATTGAAAAAGCAACCGAAATAACGAGGACAAGAAAGTGAATTTAGCCAAGTAGCATCACTGATCAAATTCCTTACCCACTTTAACACCTGAAGCATTTGGATATATCTCAGGTTTCGCAAATGTGTACTCAATGTCTGGTCCTCCGGCAATCACTTCAGTGCCTACAATTGAATAATGTGAATAACATTGACACATGTGCCATAATAGAGTAAAAATTTCTTAATAGCGTATCATCTTAATTCCTACACATCATATTTATCTCCTGTCCATTCTTTTTTCTTTTTTCTCTTTTGTGCTGACAAATAACACAGAACACCCACTATTTCCCCTACGGAGACTGGAACAATCAACCTTCCCCATTGGGAGTTAAAGGAGATACCATTGGGCAGAATACTTGGTTGTTTATCTCCTATCTCTAGTACTCCAAAACTACATTATCAAGATTTACCAAACTTACATGGGATGCGTAGATCATAAAATAATAATGACAGAATTAATCCCCCAATGTTTAATTTGTTAACATAACAATCATTTTTGGGGAAACAAGGATGAAACACAATAACCATACACATATACATGCTTCTATGCAGATAAGATAAAATCTGCGGCAACAACTTCAGTGTTTCAAAACAATTTTTTAGAAAAAGTGTCAGCTACATTAATCCAACAGGCATAAATGTAAAATATAAGTTCTGTCACAAGTCACATCCTCCTAGTCACATGGAAACAACATCAGATTGTTAAACAACTTAAAAGCAATATTGATGTCCCAATAGATGAAATAATTCGATTCCGTAAATGAACCAATTCCATGTTATCACTAGAATCATTTTTTGGGAGATGAAACCTCCAGTCAGTCAGCACCGTCTGAAGAGAATTAGATACCCACGTAGTCCATGCCGGGAAACATTTACATTAATTGTTGACAAATTTTGGAGACCAGTCCAACCCTAACCCAATCAACCTATTATTCCTCCTAGTGACTCCATTATGGAGATTAATTAAGTTTGTGCTTCTAAATGGTGTATAAGTCAAATTTGAACAATTTCGATCCAATGAAACACACAAACACCCCCTAAAGCAAATCAAAATTGTTTTTGTCAATTGAACTTGACATCTCAAAATTCGTTTATTTGACAGCAAATAATTGCTGAAAATATTATTCAAAAGAAAATCATATTTCGAGGCTCCATTCCCCTGAAGAAACACTCGGAACACTGCACCATGTTTTCTTCATTAGGTCATAGGGAAATTAATTTTCTTTTGGTAGGTAAATTTCCATATGGGAAGTAATTTTATATACCTGATATTGATTTTCAAAACCTTCCAAAAAAAAAAAAAAAAAAACACATTCACCCTGATTTTTCCCAGAACAGACCAAAATCACATGAAAAGAACAGAGCACAATAGAGGAAATAAAGATGTGATTTATCCACAATCTAAAACCAACCATGAAAATTGCAAGCAGCCCATCAAAAATGAAGGCACAATTCATGAATAATTGTGCATAAAGAAACATTCACCCTGAATTTTCCAGGAAAACTTTTTCTGACAGCATAGACCCTCATAAAATTAACCCCTAAAAAAAATGATTTACCCACATAACCATGAAAAATGCCAGGAACACAAAAAATTTCAGGCACAATTCATCGAAATGAGGTTGTATATACTGTGTGTGTGTGAATATATATGTATATGTAAATAGATATACCAGAAGTGAAATGGAGGAAGGCCAGCTTAGCTGCTTCGTTGTGGGCCTCTTTGGAGGATTTACAGATGGTGGGTGTGTCAAATGCCCTTCCATTGAGGGACACTGAAGCCAAGAATTCTGGGTCATGGTCTGGTCCTTCTTTGATGCAAGAATACCTGGGTAATCCCCATTTGTTATGGTGACACAGCTCTTGCAGCTTTGACTTGTACATGTTTCTTCTTCGCACTCTCTCACCAATCTACAGAGTCTAGAGAAAGAAAGCTGCAGAGGAAGATGAAGAAAAATAGGAGTGGAATGCAAATGAGCAAATGCTTTCTTTCACCGCAAAGTCATTAATGGTGGTTCTAGAGAGAGAGGGTCTGGGAATCAAATGCTTTCCGCGTGCAGTACTTTCACTGCAAACCATTTGTTCCATTTCTCTGCTTTCCTCTGGAACATTTGAGAAATTAAGCTGTTAGCGGAAATATATAATGCTCAAAGAGGAAATATTTAATGCTCGTTATTTATTTATTTAAGTCTCAACAATCAATATAATAAAGAGGGAAAATAAAAAATAAAAAAATTCAATATAATAAAAGAACCATTAAATAATGTTAACTAACAAAATTATTATTTAAAGTTAAATTACAAAATTGACCTTATTATTTTATAATTACAAAAACAATTTAAAAAAATATTATCAGCATTTTAATCAAAAATTAAAAATTAAATAGTAAAATCAAATTTGTTATATTTCATAATCAAGTTAACAAGGATATGCAATAACTTGATAAAATTTGTAATATTAACCCATTTTTTAAAGACTAAAAAATCAGTCAGATAATGGCAATTAATGAGTTTGCTTAGATCACCAAACACTTCAACTAGAGCCTTGTCTGAGGTATAAGTTTGCTGGATTTTCGCACTCTTTCGTAACATAAGTATCGTTAAGAGCCTTCCGGTGTGAAAACAAAAAAGATATAGCTTTCTTTTATTACTCACGAGGAACGCTAAGAGCTTGCAGCCCAACTAGGGGATTTGACCTATTTTTGCTATTCTCCTCAATTATATGCGTTTTGAATGAGTGCTATGAGTTTAGAGGGGAGAGTAAAAAACATGCCTTCTTAAGCCTGTATTGATTAATTAAAAATATATCACCAATAATTATTATATTTTAAAACTTTCTAACAATTATTTCTTTTAGGGTAAATTTCACTAACCTTTATTTCTTGATGTTTGGATAAACTATATACACGAGAAAATCGTGAAATATTTATTATTTTGACCTCTTTAAACCTATTCAAATATCGTCAAAAAATGACTTTAAGTATGAAAGGTAAGTAATGTCATTATATTATATTGCATTTTATACAATAGAATGACAAAATTGCCATTTTATAAAATTTGGGAAAAGAAAAGGTTAGGGGTGTATTTAAGCACACGCATCAAATTTTGGGGGAGGTCAAAATAATAAACGCTTAACGGTTATCTGTGTATAATTTGTCAAAACCTCAAAGAATGAAAGTGTAATTTACCCTTTTTTTTCATGTTATCTTAAATTTTCTATTTTTTTTTCCTTTCTTATGATCTTTTATATTTTCTACTTACAAGTTTAACTATTTAGAATTGATTTGTTTTCTAAACTTGTGCACAATGAGACAACGCCAACAGTCTTAATCCCAAACCACATTTTATTAATCTTTTGGACTTGTAAACGTATAGATATTAAAAACATTATGAACAATTTTACAAGAAATTATTTATTTAAGGTATTAATATATGATAAATCATGATTTAAATAAAAATAAGATAAAAAAAAAAGGTTGATCACAATTATAAATATTTATAACAAATTTAAAATTATAAAAATATATATCTATATTTAGATTAGGTTAGACTCTATGTTGTACCCTAAGTCACACAATTCTTCTCAATGGGTGTCATTCTTACGCTCAAAGCGCGCTCTCACTTTCACACTTCGCACACACTCTTGCTCCCACTCTCATTGTTTTTGACTTAATTTTGCCATTTTCGCACTCCCGCTCTCGAATTCACTCTCGCTTTATGTGACTTAGGTTATACCACAATCCAAGTCCATCCCAGTCCAAATTAAATTCCGATTAGAATTTTTCCACCCAAACACAACCTTAATTGTAATAAAAGTTATTCACGCCCAAAAAAAATCAGGTTAGGCTTGTCCATTTTTAACCACCAACAAATTACAATGTAACACATGCTTTAAATTGGCTTTCATTTCTCAGGTCCCTCTCCCTCTCACATTCTCACAAGAGGCTAGGTACACTGATGAATACAAAAAACACAGAAAATAACCATACTTATACAAGAGAAGAAAAATGACGAGAGCTTATAAGAGAGGCCTTAATACCCCATAACAAACAAAATATGCTCACCACCACCTCAACAAAAAGACCATGGATTATTTGAGATACAAAAGGAAATTCCCATGTTCTTCCTCATCTTCCTCACATGCAAAGCATATTTTTTTATGGTTTTTCTTACAGAACTCACTTGGCCAACTGGGTGCGGAGTAGCTTAGCAGCGGCAACCATGTTGCTAAGCGCTGGCTTGACTTCAGGATACTTCCGTGTCTTCAGGCCACAGTCAGGGTTGACCCAAAGGATGTTTCTCTCAAGGACCGCAAGCATCTTGTTGATCCGGTCAGCAATTTCTTCTGCTGATGGGATCCTCGGTGAGTGGATGTCGTACACACCAGGGCCAATTCCAGCACCATACTTCACTCCCTCACGGAACACAGAAAGAAGCTTCTCATCTGACCTTGAGTTCTCGATGGTGATCACATCTGCATCCATGTCTATAATGGAGTGGATAATGTCGTTGAAGTGTGAGTAGCACATGTGGGTGTGGATCTGTCCAAAGAAATGGATACAAAGGTGTTGAGAATCATAACCAAAAGGATTTTATCATTTGACCAACATATTTCACAGCTTTTGTTTGCTTTTTACTGGGATCTGTTAATTCTAGATTGTTCTTAACCAATTATGACTTATTTGCAAACCTTTGAATATTTCCAGAATAACAATGTGTTACTGTTTCCTATCATGCTTCCACTTAAAATATACTCTGAATTTTTTTCTTGCAAATGTTAAGTTATAGTACTTAAATGGCCAGTGATTCGGGTCTTAGTACAGCCTCATCAGGTGCATGAGCATAAATAACAATTTCCATGTAAAGGAAGTGGACTGAGGAGTAAAGGTGAACCTGGGTAGTGTCTGTTACACCGCAATTCGTGATCCTGAAGGAGTGAACGGCCCACTCCAAGTAGAAAGCTTGTTCAGACTTCCTAAGAGGCAAACCTTCTCTCAAAGCGGCCTCATCAATCTGAATGACATTAATACCAGCTTTCTCGAGATCTTCAACCTCATCCTTGATGGCCAAAGCAATCTGATAGCAAGTCTTGAATCTAATAGAATAGACAGATGTTGCATTAATATCATTGAAATGTTCAGCAAAATATCAACTGAGTTGGATAGGCGAATTGGTTGATTTATGTACCTAGGCTGATCATTTCTAACAAAAGACCAGTTCAGAATGGTAACGGGACCAGTGAGCATTCCCTTCATTGGGCGCTGAGTCATACTCTGAGCGATTGACGACCAGAAGACAGTCATTGCTTTGGGGCGGCTTACATCACCATAGATTATTGGTGGCTTGACACAACGGGACCCATAAGATTGAACCCACCCATTGACAGTAAAGGCAAATCCAGATAACTGCTCCCCAAAATACTCAACCATGTCGTTTCTCTGCATTTTTTAAAGATGTTTCCAATAAGTATTACAATTCAGGGACCATTTTTTTTTAATAGCCAAAAATACGATCTACTTGAAGTAACACTGAATTCACAAAGGAAGCTTACCTCTGGCTCTCCATGTACCAGAACATCAATGTCAAGCTCTTCCTGGAGCTTGACAACTTTGTTGATTTCCTCCTTTATAGCCTTAACATACTCTTCCTCGGAGACCCTAATTAGATAACAGCAACACTCTTGCATATGTCAAAAAGTCGAAAATGAAGATAAATTTTAAAGAGAACAATAATTTTTGTTTTTTAGTTAACCCGGGGTATCCGAGGATTCGCCCCAACTAATCCCCGAGGGCCTAGGAAGGGCGCCTCCCCACCCCAAGCCTGGCCTGGTAAGTCACTGAGTATGCAGCGGAGGTGTAGCCCCAAGTAATCGTAAGCTCCTAGTGGGAATCGAACCGCATGCTAGGAAGGCACCAAAGCGCAAGTGATTTTACCACTAGGCAGAGAACAAGAATAATTATAGTGGAAGGAAACTCACTTTTTAGCCTTGTATTCACGCCGGACTTTCCTAAGCTCCATGGTTTGAGGGAATGATCCAATAGTGGTGGTTGGAAGAATCGGAAGGTTCAGCTTCTTCTGCTGAGCATCCAACCGAGCACTCACATTAGTAGCACGGCGGTGGTCAGAGCCCTTCAAAGCAGCAGCCTAGGCAGGAAAAGCATAAGGTAAGAACAAGAAAATCCACTGCAGGCCACTATAAAAATGGAGGACATAAACCACTAAAAAACTTACGGCCTTTTGAACAGCCTCGTTTGTCACCCTTGGTGATGATTTTCTCGAACTCTGAGCCACAGCATTAGCGGAGAAGAATTCCTGACAAGAAAAAACCAGCAGTGAGAAGCTAATATATCCTCAGTATTTATACTACTACTACAAAAGACCTCAGAGAAGGCATAATACAAATTGATAGATTTTTATAAATTTCCATATATAGAATGATACACCATATTAATTGGCAAAGGCAGATAGAAAGGATTCAACCCAAGTCCATTTTTAAGCTATAAACCATTTCCATCGGCAAATATTCCTAAAGGCAGCTAAAAGGGCTCATCCATGGTTCTCTGAACAGGCCGGTTTGCAGCAAATTAGAAGGCCACCGATACCAATCTGACCAATGCAGTTCAACCGATTCTCCACAGAAAAAATCTGGTTTGGGCCGTTTCTCTCCAAAACAGGCTGATTTGGGCTGGCCTGAACCAGCAACACTCAAAGCAATAATGATGAGGCCAAGGGGAATTGAACCATTGCCTCTTACCTTTTGCAAGGTACTCACCATCCACTAGACCACATTTTGCTTTTGTATATAATAGTCCAACAAATAAATATATATTCTCTATAGGAATAGTATAAATCTTTCTTTTAGAATGTAATCTACTTTGTTTATTAGTATACTTAACATATTTATTTATCCTTTCTTTAAGAATGATACTTTTGACTTTATTATATATTTTTTATTCTCTCATCACATGTTATATGTGGTTTGAATTTTAATATATTTTATGCTTAAATAGATTATTATTCATTAACTTAGTAAAAAATATTATTACCATGCCTTTTTAATAAGAGCAACAGCTTAGAATTTATAAATAGGTCATAACTCGTGTTAAATGGTCTTACAAAATTCAATAAAATTTACAAAAATTCAATAAAATTTACAAAAATTCACTAAAATATCATTTCTATTGAATTGTGTTGTATAGAGTAGCATATCAGTAATTTTTTGTCTTAATAGCGAGATTGAAAAAAATTCATGATCATGATAATTGAGTCCATTACATTATGCGGATACGGACCCGACTCTGTCACATCGCATCTGCAATTGCGAACCATGGGCTCACATCCATGCCCATTTTCAAGCTGTAACTGTTTCTATGAGCAAATATTCCTACGTTACTGCCAAACAGAGAATGTGAGCTGTCTCAAGATAAAAATTTGAAGTGTCAGTATCTTGAGAACTGATCATCTTGCAATTGTTTCTTTTTCTTTTTTATAAGTGATATTTCAATAAAATACGCTCAAACGAAGATCGCGCCCAAATACAAAAACACCAAAACCAAATTACAAATTCACAAGAGCAGAACGGCCTCCTATAACCTCATTGTATCCACAAAATCCATAAACTCTTCTAAGGATTTACAAGTCCACCCATTTACCCAAAAGACTACAGAACTTAGTATTGAATTTTTTTTTTGTTGATAAATACAGAACTTAGTATTGAAAAATTGAACATCAGGTCTGGAAACGAAGGGAATAACATGGAAATTCAAGCTAACTTAAGGAAATGTAAGAAAGAAATTTGTACAGGTAGACGACTTGGAACAGGTTAAAGGGAAAAAAATTAATAAAAGAAAAAAAATACAGAAACAAAAAAAATAATAATAATAAAAATATATGAGCTGTGAAGAATTTTCACATTTTGCAAGTATATGACTTAAACTTCAAGAGAACTAAGAATTTAAGTACTTGTGAGTTGTGTCCACATTTAGAAAATTGTATATTGCAAAAAGAGAAGCACGGAAGTGCAAAAAGGAATCAACAATTTGAATAAGTTCCGGGTGTTTGTGCCATGGACTCACACACAACATAAAATTTTCAAGGTAACTTAAAGCAAAGCTTCTCTTTTTCTTCCTGAAAGTTCATAGTTTTAACAAATAATTTGAAAAATGAAATTGATGCCTGATCACGTGCTAAATTTGATTCATTATCAAAACTATTAACGTGTCCAGATATCTAACTTGTGTAAAGTGTGGTTTCTTTTTCAGCTATAACGCAAGCAGGTGTATACTAGCAAAAACAATTATAGAAAGAAAGTAAAAGTGAAGTACCTCATCCTTGTGACCAGACAATGCCTTTGCCAAGGCATTGACTTCAACTACTTTTTGTGCAGCAAATGCAAGCCATGACTTAATCTCTTTGTCCAACTTAGTTTCATTCACTAAATCAACCGCAGTGTGAAGAAGTGAGCAGGAGGTAGAGACCACAATCTTATCTGCAGAATAACAATAACAGTTGGGGATTATGAATTTCAAACAAGCAATACTCTCCTTGAAGGAAAAAATAAAAATAAAATCTAAAACAAAATAAAGTTTTTTATTTTTTGCAAATCCCAGTAACACAGGTTGGAACATCCATACAACTTTTTCTTTGTTTTTTCAGTAGGCACTGTTCCTGCATAATGGTCTGCGCAATGCGGGTACACCATTTTCTGGAAAAAAGGCCACATATGTTTTACCCAATGCCACATGAAATCTATTTCCATCCAGAGTTTTGACAGCCCTGAATGTGAGAAAGAGAGTTTTTTTTTTTCTTTACTCTCTCTCTCTCTCTCTCTCTGTGTGCAAGTGTTGGGGTGGGGCTGAAAGAAGAGGTGGGAGGTAGAAGATTGAACAGGAAATGTTTCTTCTTCCAATTTTTAAAGAACAGAGAGAGATCGTGATTACCCTCCCTTAAAATGCTATGATTCAAGCTAGGTAATTATTAATAGTGTTGATACTTCCTGTTTCCTAAAATACAAAAGAGCATAAGAATGCATTCAAGAAAATATACCTTTCCCCACAATGCCCTCGAGAGCCTGCAAGGTACTGAGGGAAGAAACAAGGTCATTGGCCCAAATGTTTCTTCCATCCACCACTCCAGCAAAAAGATATTTTCCTGAAGGGAATCCACCTTTGATTAAGTCAAGGGTTTTTGATCCACGAACCAAATCAAACCCAAAACCAGTGACTCCCTTCAATGCTGTGAGTGTTTTGTATGCCTCGGCAGGAATATCAGCAAAGTACGTCTCAATGAGAATATTTAGACCAGATAGGGATGACTCCAACTTGGAGTAAGCATGAGTAAATGCTTGCAATTTGTCAGAACCGAGATCCATCACGAGAGTGGGCTCATCAAACTGAATCCAGGTAGCCCCAGCTGCCTTCAGTTCAGCCACAACTTCCCTGCATGGTAAGTATCCATAATAAAGTTCAATGGAACAAGCATAAAGAAATACAACATATGTACACTCAAAATTTTGCATGTCATGTCACGACAATGACTCTAGGCCTTACTGGTAGACTGGAAGAATCTTGTCTATCAGTGAGAGAAGAGAAAATGACTTTTCAACACCCTTTGCTGGTTTTGATAATAACAAGTAGGACACAGGGCCTACAAGGATTGGGACTGTATCAACTCCAAGCTGCAGTGAAGAAACAAAGGAACTATTAGACCAAACACTTACAATAGGCTTGACTAATTACCATAAATGAGTTTGAAATGTTGTCTTAGCACTTTTTAAAGAATTTCCCCTCTCCTCTACAAGAGATTTAAAACAAAATTTGCAAAAAATAAAACAAAAAATAAAAAGTAATAGCAAGATAATCAAGTAAAACTTCAACTTTAACAGGTTATTAAATGAACCAATAAGATCTATGTTTACATAATTTTAATGCTCCATTAACATTTTCAAACGAGGTCAGAGGAAGGAACCCCAAGATGAGTAAAAAGTTCATTCCATCATTTGGGAAGGGAGGGAATAATTTAATGCAAGGATGTGCCAAGTGAGAGATGGAGATTGTCGAGAATTCGCAGAACCATTAGATATAACTTCACAACTCTCAAAATCTTTGCAATAATAAGCCTAAGCCCTCTGAACAAGGAATCATGTAACTGGATTCACAATTGACTTCCTTGAGCTTTAAGTTCATACTATTTAAAGGAAATGAATGAGTGTGGGAAAATCAGATCGAAATAAAGTGGAAGATCATATGGAGTTACCCTAACGGGTCATTCCCTTAGATATGCACCATGCCTTGTGTATATTTAAACTTCACTATGACTTTATCAGATGCCAACAATGTCCACTTCTAATACATTTCTGTAACAGTAAGCTAAGGCCTTCAATAGAAATATATCATCCAATTGTGTCCTGCGTAGCACCTAAAGAAAAATTTGTGTTTCCACATAATAGAAAAAGAGCCAAGCTAATTGCATCTATGTGAGAAGTTTATTGTGAGACGTGTCTTTCAAGTTTTTACTAGCAATTCAGGAGGGCTTTTATATTTTAGAAGTTCTAGTTAGAGAATCAAATTGTGGCTTCGAAGGCACCATCATCGTCTTCAGAGCTTCTTCCATAGCTCATCTTTCCATGAAGCATGGCTGCTGCAATATGTTTGTTCTTGTCTACCCACCCCCCCAAAAAAAAAAAAAAAAAAAAAAATCTTATGAAGAATCCTAATGCTATTTAAATTTGAAAATAAAAATATAAATCAACAGAAGGAACAATGGGAATTGGCTAACTTACAGCTTTGGCCTCCTTGAATTCAGTCACCGCCTTATGAGAAGCATAAGAGAATTTAACATCTGGTCCTAGTTCAGGGACAATGTAGTGGCTACATAGATAATCATATATATATTTATATATATAAAAAATCATTCAGTGGTTCATTATCATAAAAACAAACAATAGCTAAAATCATCAAAATGCTTGAACTGTGAGAACAGAGAAGCCATCACTTACTAGTTGGTGTCAAACCACTTAGTCATTTCCATAGCAGGAACAGAAGCATTTCCCCTAGCCATGGAAAAGTAGACATCAAACCCAATCTCACCCCCATTCCAACCATATCTAGTGGGAACAGCCCCGAGCATTGCAGTGGTATCTAGTACTTGATCGTAGTATGAGAAGGTGTTGCTAGGAATATATTTGATCCCAGCATCAGCCATCTGCTTCCAGATGGATGACCTTAGATCAGCGGCCACTTTTTGCAACTCATCAGCAGTACTCTTCCCATCCCAAAAGGATTCCAATGCAAACTTGAGCTCTCTCTTTGGTCCCATACGAGGATATCCAACAATGTGGGATGCCATTGTTCTGTTTCAACATATATCGCACAGAAGTTAGATAAGTTTATATATATGCCTATATAAATAGATGTAGAATATATAAGTGTAACAACTTCTCTTGTATAATTTTAAAAATATTCAGCGCAAATCACATTAATATAGGGGAGGATGTATATGCATGACATGAACACACACATGAAAAAAAAGAAAAGAAAAGAACATTTACAAATAATTCAGATTCTCTTGTACGATTTAAACATTTAAATGTATTGAAACCACAATTTTCAGTTAGAAAATCAAGGAATTCTTCTAAACAATAGTAGAGACAGAGGTTATGTGAAAAGGGTTGTATGAAGGGGAAAAAAAGTGCACTTCAGTTCTTTGTTAGATGGCATTGAAACCCAATATTTATTGGCACTGACGAGCAAGCAATGGACAAGAATTCGAAAAAATGAATATCAAAGATGCTCTCTAGTACAAAATGTGTAATAATCTCTCTATATGGCATCAAATGTTTAACTCAATTGCATTCAGTATACGATTAACCCAACAAGAGTTAACTATAACGGGTCCAATCAGTAAACAAAGAGAATGGACGCGTTTTATTCCAAATCTATGTTTCATGTATTGGGTATCAGAAAATCATGACAACATAGCAAAATAGTACAAAATTCAATTCACCAGATCTTGCTTGCTCACTGGGATCCAAACTCAAGTTTCTACTAAAACTATCTTCAACTTAACACCAAAACACATATATGAGTTATCCATTATAGAACTACAGTTAAATTTTGAAATTCAAACTATTAGAAGCTGCTTCAGACAAAATCTGCAACAAGCTTCAATCCAAATTCAGATTCGGTAGCTTCTAGAAACAGACAGCACAAGGAGAAATTTCAAATCAAAACTACACCATACGCACATAAGAGACTAGAATATAAACCAGATTGGTGTTCATAAGAAATAGAACAATATATGACAAACCAATATTAACTACACAAACATATATACATATATATATATATATGATTCGAATACAGATAGAGATGCAGAGCAAGAACCTGAAGCGGAAGCGGAAGAGAGAGAGACGGTTGATGGTAGTGGTGGGTAGAGAGAGAGAGCGAAATGAGATGAAAGTAGAAGAAAACGGCGCAATGGAAGGCAGCACTGCGATTTGTCTCATTTATACTACCAGTCTTCACCCACTTTTCATCATACTTTCTCTCTCTAGATCTTATACTAGTTTGATAGATGATGGCTAAATTACCACTTTACCTACCTACTTCAGGAATTATTTTACCATTCTATCCTGATGTATTTATATATATATATATATATATTTATATAAAGAGGGGGTTAATTAAGGGAATTAACAAGTGCTTGGTGCAGTCGAAGTATAATATGTTTATGCGAACAATCTCACTATTTTATTTTCGAATGCAACAGAGGAGATTTTTGTAATTGTATATAATTTAAAGCAGAGGTTAGCATATAGTGTTCTATCTTTAATGATTTTTTATTTATTTTATTTAAAAGAAATTGTAATTTATATTGTATTTTATTATAAATGAAAGTAAGAATGATGTTGATGTGAATTTTATAGTATTATTTTGAGAAATAGCATGATTATGTTTTCTTGCAAACACATAGGACCAAGGGACACGCGACCCGGATATTTTTCCTTCCCCTCTGAAAAATCTTTTTGGTTCCATCCCTCATGTGTGTTTTTATGTGGTGCCAAATCTTCAATTTAATAAACTCATGTCACAATCTTATATGCAGAATAACGATATATTTATTTTTATTTTTTGTCATGGGTCATTTATATTTATTTTTATTTTATATATTTATTTATTTTTTTTATTTTAAAATATGTTATATCCCTTTTGAGCTATCACTCCATGATATTGAAGAAAATGCATATTCTTAAATTAAAGGCATTTATCTCTTGATTCAACCATACTTTTTTCACTTAAAGTAAAAGATGTTAAAACAGTTTTTAAAAAGTGTGCATAATTAAACCGCCTTGTGAACAAAGGCGTTTGAATGAATTGACTATACTATATATCAAGTTAAAAGAAATTAAACTTAATTTCAATGCTCATTTTAAGTAAATTTTTTATTTGATTTGAGGTTGGTAGGTTAGGTTAAGACTACATGGACCATCCCACAACCAAAGCAATACAAGTTGGTTTATATTAATGGTTATATAAACCATATCCAATCAATTGTGATTTACGTGTTTGATAATGTCATTTCAGAAAGGTTGGTGGGCAAGTGATGGTAGGCCACTCTCCCACCAAAAACAAAGTTATGTGTACTAGACCCCATCCTCGGTCAAAAATTATAGAGTGAGTAGGTGAGATGAGAGAGAACAGAACCTTCAGCTTTACAGTTTTTTTTTTTTTTTTTGGTAATCACATTAGTTTTGCATTGCATGTGGTATTAATTTTGCTAATTTTTTTAATAATTTGAATAATATTGCATTTTCTTTTTAAAAAGAAGTTTAAATCAGAAACATTATACGCTTGACAATCACAATTACTTTATGTTTTTGCTTTGATTTGAAATAGAAGCAATGTTTCCACTTTAGAGTGTGTTCAACACTATTTCATATTTTATTTGGTAACATAAGTTTGTTATAAGATTTTTGAAAGCAAAAACATGAGAGCATGTTTTGTAAAAAGTGTTGCAAGTTTGAAAATTTGAATGGCTAGTTAAAAATGTTAATTTAAAAAAAAAAAATTGAACAGTACTTTTGCTACAGTACGAAAGCAAACAAATGCATTTTGATGCTTTTGATTTTGACCTCAATTTTAAAAGCGTTTCGGTACTATTCAAATAACAACAAACGTTATCAAACATATTTCGTGCTTTTGTTTTGCTACAGTACACTAGTAAAAGCAAAAAATACAAAGCAAAAGTATTGGCCAAACAGTAACATTCTTGCGAAAACACTCTAGTGGTGAAGAGTTTCAACATATAAAAATAAATTTAAATGACCTTTTTTTAACTATTTTTTTTTTTTTTTTAATCTTGTAATATTTTTTTTTTATCAAACATGTTTTTATATTTTTTTGTTCTAAAAATCTTGCAACACAAATATTTTTTTTTATTTTATTTATATATATTTTTTTACAAGGCAAGAAGGGTTAGAAGTTAAATTAGTAAGTGCAAAGAGTCGAAACTTGGCACTCCCAAAATTCACCGGAAGCACTAACCACTGGGCTATTGAGGCATCTGCTACGTTTACAAATATGATTCCAATTATTATGAACAATTGTTTTTGTTTTTGTTTTTGTTTTTTTCTATTTTCGAAATAAAAACAACATTTCTCTTTGGCAACTGTTTTTTTTTTTTTTTCTATTTTCGAAATAAAAACAACATTTTTATTGTGAGTTCACAATAAAAATGTTGTTTTTATTTCGAAAAAAAAAAACAAGCAAACAAACAGTTGCCAAAGAGACTCAAAATATTGTAATTCCGGAATATAATATTGCAACTTCCATTTTAACATATTAAATTAAGGTACTACACTATTTTTTTCGAGTCTCAAAATATTAGTGTTACACCTCAATTTGACGTGTTGTGCTCAGTACAACACTTTTAAAAAGTCACTCCACAATTTTCATATATGATGCTTGAACCTTTGTTGGCTAAAATTCATAATCATGGCACCCCATTTAATGATGTAAGTGGAATTTTAAAGTGAAAATGTGAACCTAATTAGGTAAAATTTAGCTTAGAGATGTCAATTCTAAGACAAGAAAGCAGGGGCAGAACCAGGATTCAATGTAAGGGGGGCTGTAGTATTAACAGTTTTACTAATATAATATAATAATATTTTAAGTCAAAAGTACTTCATGATTGATTAGATGCATACAAAAATATATCTAACCAAAATTTGACCAATTTGTTTACAAAACAATAATTGGCCTATATCTAGTCAAATATGACATAGATAAATATAAAAAGAAACCTGAAAGACCAAACAACTTCTACAAAAGTTGAGCTCGACAATCTTTTAGAGAAGAAAAATCATCTCTAATTGAATCTGTACTAAAAGTCTGAGCAATTTCTTTTTCAGTACTGACACCCAAGTAATCTGCAAGAAACTCATCCTCCATCATGTTGCGCAATTGTGTTTTCACAAGTTTCATAGTTGAAAATGTCCTTTCTGTAGTTGTCGTGGAAACGGAAAGGGAAAGAGTCAAGACAAAATGAATCAACCTATCAATCAAAAAGTAGATTTTTGACTTGTTTGTTTCTACTAATCCTCTGCATAGTTCAGAAATCGTTGACATATTTTTCAAATATGAATGAACAGGCATTTCAACCTCATAATGTTGCAATTGGAATGTCAACATAATCCTCTCTTGGTCCATGAAATCTTGAGGATAAAATTCATTTACAAGCGTGCAAATGTCTTCAACGTTAAAGAACTTGTAACCATTTCTAGGATCCAAAATTGAGCTGAGAGTAACAAGTTTCATTGCCTTTTCACTAAATTTGTTATTCAACTCCTGCAATTGTGAATCAATTGTGCCATAAAATATATCAATTCGATAGTGGTGCTCAAGTGTAATATTATCTTGTAGGTGACGTGACTGACCCTTAATTTTTTTGGTATAAGGAACACTCAAATCAGGCACATCAATGTTGTGGCACTCACAAAATGATTTAACAATATCAAGAAACTTGTTCCAATCATTTTCTCTCAATTTCAGAATAATTTATTTTGTACTCGAAACCAGTTGCATAACATTTACGATATCTTGATCTTTTTGTTGCAAAGCTTGACAAATGATATTAGTTATTCCCATGATATCTTTTATCAAATGCAAAATAAACACAAATTGAAATGATTTAAGAGTATTAAAAGCAGTATCAGCATCTCCCCGGATCTTGTAATTACATCCATCTTCAATAAGGTTGTTAAGAACTGAACATGTTGGACCAAATAACTTTATCAAACTACAAACAGAATCAAAATGGGAGCTCCAACGAGTATCTCCAGGTCGTTGCAAGTTACCAATCTGATTAGCTCCTCGGCTGGTTTCAAGTTCATTAAGATCTATCAAATGGGCAATTTCTATAACTTGAGCAGAATGTAATTCATCAGTTTGTTTGCAAGAAGCTCCAATGTTATTGATAATGAAGTTCAAGTTGGAAAAGAATTGATGGACAACGATTACTTTCTAGATGCGGCAACTAATGCTAGTTGTAGTCGGTGAGCTAAGCAATGCACATAATATTCATAAGGGCAATCATTAAGAAATAATGCTTGTAAACCATTCCATTCACGACGCATATTGCTAGCATCATCATAACCTTGACCTCGAAGATTGTGAACATCAAGATTATAGTGAGAAAGAACAGCACAAAGATCCTTTTTTAAATTCAATGAAGTTGTATCTTTGACATGCATAGGATCAAAGAAACGTTCTTGTAAAAAAACATCCTTATCAACGTATTTTAAAATGATAGCCATTTGCTCTCTTTTAGATTCATCACGAGCTTCATCAATAAGAATACAAAACTTGGCATCGTCGATATCTTCATGAATCTTACTTCTCACTTTTCTAGAAAGAATATGCAAACTTTCCTTTTGAATTTGTGGCGAGGTATACTTGGCATTTTTTGGAGCATTTTCAAGAACAATTCTAGCGACAGCATCATTATATGACGCAACAGCCTTTACCATTTCAATGAAATTGCCTCGATTACTTGATTGAAGGGATTCATCATGCCCTCTAAAAGCACAAGCTTGATAAGTAAGCCATCGGATCGCATCAATTGTGACCTTCAATCTCAATCGATTATTTGAAACTTGTTCGGAAGTTTGTCTAACCATCACTGTATCAATATGACAAAGTTGATTCACTTGGTCCTTACATGCTCTCTCAACAATGCTATGAGCAGAACATGGACTTCCTCCCACGTGATTTAAGAAAGCACACCTATTGCCATCATTAACTTTCTTTCAACTTCGAAATCCTTCACTAGTAAATGCATTGGTTTTAGGACGCCCCGTTGGTTTTGCTCCAAAAAGAAAGCAAGGTAAGCAATATGCAACATCCTTTGAAGGAGAGTACTCTAACTAGGTAGGAAATAATTTAAACCAAGATGATTGAAATCGACGACGATGCTTTTTCGATCCAGCAAGCGGATATACTGAAAGCGCAATTTGATATGGTTTTGCTTTGATATAAGCTCGTCAAACTTCATCACGTTCGTCAACAGGATAATCCCGTATTTGACGATGTAGTCCTGGATCACGTTCTAAAAAGGTAGGATCAACTTTTGTATATTCAACTCTTAGAGATTTTGGAGGATGTGGTTATCATGAACCGAAACATTAACATTAGAGGCGGAAACTGCGGAAGGCACATCATTTTTTTGAAAAAAACAGTCAATAGTTCTTTTTGGCTTCACCATCGTTTAACACTGTACCTAAAGAGGGTAATTCAAATATAAACTTTTAATACCTAAGGTTTTACATTGTAATTTAAACCACCGATCCAAAATTCCTAATAAGCTTAATTGAGTAAAAATAATATTGCACCCTCATTGCATATAAAATAACTAATTTAAAATATAAAAAAATTATCACCCACAATTTTGCGCCTGTGCAGTGTCTAAAAAATAAATTGTGCACCTGTGAAGTGTCTAAACAATAAATTGTGCGTCTGTGAAGTTTCTAAACAATAAATTGTGCGCATGTGAAGTGAGCTTAGAATTTGTATATATAGCAACACTTACATGACTAATTTCAAGTGAATTTTAGAAAAAATAGGAAAAGATAAGTTTTAGAAGAAAAAAGTGTGTACCAATTAAGATTTTCAGAGCCTCTGTATCAGTCCGTGATAGTTTCCCTTGAAATATTATGCATTTCTGCTCCTGAGATGTAAAAACTTATAAACATGAGTACTTTTTGCTAACACAAAACTGAGATATAGAAGTTATAAACATGAGTACTTTAAAACTGAGATGTAAAAATTGAGATGTAAAAAGTTATAAACATGAGTACTTTAAAACACCAGTACCATTGAGATATAGGAGTTAACAAATTAGCCACAAATCAAGCAGTCAAACACTTTTTGTTAATACAAAACTTTAACTTTTATGGACTAATCTCAAAAATGGACCAATCGGTAGACAGTAGACTAATTCAAAATCAACAGGTACAATTAGATACACAAAATCAGTTAAAATTCCAACACAGAGTCAATTACATAGTCAAATTCAAAGAAATAAGGACCATAATGTCACGCCCCGCCTATGGAGGTTGTACCACGCAGGCGACACGCAGACGCTAAGGAGGACGCTGCATGGCAAGTGGAGTTTCTAGAGTCTTCCGGAGTAGTCTAGAGTTGTGTGGAAGATTCTAGATATGTGTAGTATATTCTAGAAGTGTGTGGAAGGTTCTAGAATTCTCCAGAATTGTGTGGAGTAGTATGGAGGGTTCTAGAATGTTGTAGATATGTATGAAGATGTGTAGAAGGTGGAAGAAGATTCTAGAGAATCAATCTCCACCGTTGGTTAGAATGCATCATAGCCATCCATTAGGGATGGGGATGCTTATAAATAGGAGTAGGACTTCATTTTGCAAACAACAAGTCCTAGAGTGAGTCTTGAGAGCCTTGTAGAGAGCTTGAGTGTTAGTCTTGTACAAAACATTCTTTGAAGTAATAAAAGTGTTCTTTCCTTGCCAACTTAAGTGCCTTAGTGTGTGTGAGTGTGCAAGCCAAGTGAGGAGAGGGCGAGGGCAACTACAACACTAGTAAGCGCACGAGGGGAGTGTGTTGGCTAAGGTGTGCACGGGAGTTAGGCTGACCAAGTACTTGCGAGAGTGGAAGCAACGTCTTGGTGCCGCACGGGAGCAGCTAGAGTGGTGCTGAAACTCTAAGCCCGTGACAGTTGGTATCAGAGCCAGGTTCGTCAAGGGAGCTTTGTTGGAGTAGACATGGCTAGCGGAGGAGACCACCAAGTCCACATCTTAGAGCAGAGCTTGGAGGAGAAGCTTACCACACACTTGGTCTACACGGAGACTAAGTTTAATAGGCTCGAGAGAAGGATGGCGGAGCTCTACGAGCTGATTGATGGCATCGCCAACAAGGCGCAAGAGAAGGAAAGGGACTTGCATGATCTGGTAGACGACTTGTGCGTGGAGATTGTCGAGTGCAAGAAGGAGTTCTCTCAGGCGCGCGAGGTCGTGGTGAAGCCAAGGAAGAAGAAGGCGCCGGAGCCCAAGGAGTACGATTGGGCAAGGAATGCGCGCCAGATTGACAACTTCTTCTGGTACATGGAGCGGTACTTCGAGTGCATGGAGATCGAGGATGATGAGGAGAAGGTGTAGACAGGCATTATGTACCTCACAGACACCGCCGCTCTATGGTGGAGGCAGCGCTTCACCGGTAGGGGCGCAAGAGCAGTTGATAAATGAGAGGAGTTCAAGAGGCAGTTCTACCCTGAGTGCGTTGAGGACCTCGCCATGATCAACCTAAGGCGCCTGAAGCAGAAGGGCAGCATAAGGGAGTATGTGAAGGAGTACTCCAACTTGATGCTGGAGATCCCAGAGATACCGGAGCGACAACGCGTGTGCTTATTCATTGATGGGTTGCAGTCTTGGGTAGCCACAGAGCTGAGAAGGAGGGAGCCTAGAGACTTGGCATCCGCAATGGCTATAGCGGAGTGCCTTGAAGACTTTAGGCGCGATGACAAGAGGGCCACGTCTCCCAGGAGGGACCACGGCAAAGGTGGGGGAGACCGTCGCTTCAAGAAAAGGGGCTCGCCCAAGTCAAGTGATGATGAGCACAGCGATGAGGAGAGACGCCCACGCCATGATAAGGGCAAGGACCATGGAGAGAGGTCTAAGGCTAGTGGCAAAGGGGAGCGCCGCGATAAGGGCAAGTGGGAGCTGAAGTGCTACTTGTGCGAAGGGCCGCACATATTGCGACACTGCCCCAACAAGAAGACCATGAGCGCCCTTGTGAAGGATAAGGGCAAAGGCAAGGCGGACGATGCGGGCAGCGATGAAGACAGGTACATGGGGGCTATGCAGATGTTGAGTAGCATGGCGCATGACACCAAGAAGAAGGGCAAGGTGAAGAAGGTAGCCGGGGTGCGCTATGTGGATGCGCAGGTTAGTGGCAAAGCTGTGCAAGCGTTGGTGGACACGGGTGCCACACACAACTTCATTACCCCGGAGGAGGCGCAACGACTTGGCTTGGAGATGCGCAAGACGGAGGGCTGGATCAAGGCCGTCAACTCCGAGGAGGCACGTGTGAGTAGAGTGTGCAAGGAGGTGGAGCTATGCATGTAAGGATGGAAGGGCAAGGACGACTTCCAGGTTGCGGAGATGGACGACCATGACATGGTGCTGGGGCTGGAGTTTATGGATAGGAACAACGCCGCGCCACTACCATGCCTTGGTGCGTTGATGATACTTGGAGGCGAGGAAGGCAAGGCCGCATGCATGGTGCCGCTCGTGGGCAGGAAGGAGAGTCTAGAGGTGGCAATCAACACGATGGAGCTCGTGAGGACCTCACATCTCCCGAAGGGCGCGCGAACATTTGGGCCAAGGACATATACACAAGTACTGATGACCTGCGAGAGGCTGGGTCAGCTGAAGAAACCGTGACGAGGGCGTCACGGAAATGGATGGGGGAGAATGTCACGCCCCGCCTATGGAGGTTGTACCACGCAGGCGACACGCAGACGCTAAGGAGGACGCTGCATGGCAAGTGGAGTTTCTAGAGTCTTCCGGAGTAGTCTAGAGTTGTGTGGAAGATTGTAGATATGTGTAGTATATTCTAGAAGTGTGTGGAAGGTTCTAGAATTCTCCAGAATTGTGTGGAGTAGTATGGAGGGTTCTAGAATGTTGTAGATATGTATGGAGATGTGTAGAAGGTGGAAGAAGATTATAGAGAATCAATCTCCACCGTTGGTTAGAATGCATCCTAGCCATCCATTAGGGATGGGGATGCCTATAAATAGGAGTAGGACTTCATTTTGCAAACAACAAGTCCTAGAGTGAATCTTGAGAGCCTTGTAGAGAGCTTGAGTGTTAGCCTTGTACAAAGCATTCTTTGAAGTAATAGAAGTGTTCTTTCCTTGCCAACTTAAGTGCCTTAGTGTGTGTGAGTGTGCAAGCCAAGTGAGGAGAGGGCGAGGGCAACTACAACATTAGTAAGCACACGAGGGGAGTGTGTTGGCTAAGGTGTGCACGGGAGTTAGGTTGACCAAGTACTTGCGAGAGTGGAAGCAACGTCTTGGTGCCGCATGGGAGCAGCTAGAGTGGTGCTGAAACTCTAAGCCCGTGACAATAAGGTGACTTGTAGAGACAGATTCAATCATTCAAAGAAATAAGGTGTGCTCAGTACCTAGTCAACTGACAATTACAGAGTCAGAGAGAGAAGATGAGTACGAAAAAGATAAAATAAGGATTCTGAGGAGTGAGGACTGCAACTATTAGCCGACTGCCGACGATGATGCAAACGTTTGTGTGACTTTGTGTGAAGGTGGAGGAGAAGATGATGAACAGAGGGTTAGGGCAAGAGGCAACTACGGGCTGAATGTTTTGGGGGCAAGAAAGTTTAAGCACAAAGCAATGTGACAAACTCCACCAAAAAAAAAAAAAAAAACATAACAAGTTCAAGGTCCAAAAACAGAGGTTATTTCGATGATGTAATGCATTTTCACTTTATTATTATTATTATTATTAAAAAGATGATATTCGTACTTTACTTTTAAACACTTTTAGAGTTCATTTTTTGGTATTTAAAAAATAGAGTACAATTTATGAAATAATTCTAGTATGATTGTTTGAGGGCGCTTTTGAAGAACAAGTATATTGTCTCCTTTAAACATCTTCATCATCACTGATGATGTGGTATAATAATGGAATGACATACATATATTTTTAATTTAAAATATTTATATATATATATATATAAATTTAAATTATTTTTGTCATTGTGACACATTGGTGGTAAAAAAATTAACATTGTACGTGAATGTCTCATGTCTTGAAAAAAAACTGTATGAAAGAGATATGAAGCAATTAACCTTATTTTACAAATTCCACATCAGGAAAATAACAGGGAGACTCAAGGATTTGGGTTCTCTGGCCATTTAATAGTTAAAAGTGCCCATCAATTGGCTCTTAAGCTGCGAAACAGAAACTCCCAAAACAGGGCTGGATGCCGTACTGAGCAAGATTTCTTAAGATAATGGACTTGACATCAATCTCAATCTCGATCTAGATCTTTATCAAATATTAAAAAAATAAAAATAAAAAAATCTTTTCCAAGTAAAATATTTTACAACAGACAGAGATGTAGCTTTTAACTATACGGCTAAAAGAAGGCTATGGCGGTCTGATCTTGAGGAATCATTTAGGCTATTCTCGCGATGCTCCTTGTAGCATCCTTTTTTCATCCCCCAACCATACGTGATTTGGGTTATTTCAGGAGTGAGAGAGCCATCCTCCTCCGGCCTCTCGCGTGTTATTGAAGGCCACATTTTACAGTAATAAAATATATTTAGGATACACCTAATTTTTTTTTTAACATTTTTTCGACAAAATGACTTATCATATGTTAATTCCTGTGTTCACGTTTAACGATGTTAGTGTTTTATAATTAAACCAAATTCTCGGAAAAAAAAAAATAAATAAAAAAAATAAAATTAAAGCAAACTCAGATGCTTAGGTGTGCAATTTATGCTCAATCCATAGTTGTGTGTGTGTTTTATAATATCATATGCATAGTTGTCGGTATTCGGAGCGTGACATAAGTTATAAGCAAAAATTTCACTAAGCTTTCGATAAAACTCATAAAAAATTTCATATTCTTCCATACCTAGTTGCAAGTTGAGTATTTGTCTGTATCAAAAGTCCAGTCATCATTTAAAGGCTTGTTATATGTATCATCTTTTTCATTAGATGTAGTTGAATGATTCCAACCATTTTTAACTGTAGCTCAAACTCTTTTAATCTTAGAAATTACCAATTCTCCTATATTAGATGTTCAAGACAAATGAGTTCGTTGAACTGATTCACCCTCTGTGAATGAATTTTCCATGGCAAATTTTTTAAAAACCGAAACAGTTTTTTATTTTAAAAATATTCCACAAGGAACAACTCACAATTTAGAGAAACATGTTCCGATAGCAAGTATGAGTTGCCTTATGCGGAATGGTTGTGGAATAAGATTACGAAAAATACCAAGAGGGGATGAATAAAGTGCAAGTAAATAAAGAGTTTGAGATTAACACTAGGTTTTAGCATGGAAACCCTTGCTAGAAGAAATCCAACCAACTAAGACGAAAATCATGGAGACTTTTGCAATTTTGAGCGAAACAATCCACTATCTCTAATCAAAGTACAACAGACGCTCACACCCACTCCGCTCTATCGATAACTAATTGTTGAACACATCTGGCTTTGTAACTACCCCGTTCAAATGTTATAAACCTCATGCTTACTTCTCAATTCTTGTAGAATGGTAGCTGAAAAACACAGACACTCTGCAAATACTCTGTCCCCTTCGTAACTCGATCAAATCATTCTTCCTTCAAATATGAATTCATGAAGGAAAAATGAAACCTGCTTATCTGAACAGAATATGTATGAATCTTCTGATTGCTTGAACTACGGTCAGATTGAGAAAACCATCCTAAATCACTCTTGTAGCTTTCCCAAAGTCCAAGAGTTTCAAGTAGATAAGCGCAACTACATAGACAAAGAAGTAGACATTTCTGGAACACCATCCTAAATCACTCTTGTAGTTTTCCCAAACTCCAAGAGTTTCGAGTAGATAAGCACAACTACATGGACAAAGATGACGACAGCAATGGTTGGAACCTTGAAGGGGCTATCATTTCTATGCCCAATCCCATAATCTAGAATTATTAAATCGAAGTAAACATTTCTGGAACACCTCTAACACAGGACAAATAGTCAATTTTGAAAGAATTTTTTGCATCAATATATGTGCTTTCAAATAAAAACAAACATACAGAAAAAATCAAAGATGATTTTCTGCACAAAAATACTCAAAAAAAATCTTTAATTGCTGATTTTTTTAAAAAAAAAGCTTTATATGATTATAATTATGAGAGAAAAAGTGGTTATATCGACACGAGATCATACATGGACTTCCCTAACAAATCTAGATATAAAAGGAAAAAAGAATTTGACAAAAATTAAAGTTTCCTTTTCGATCCCGTAAACTTACAACCGAGAGGTCGGACTTTATCAATTGCACACTTGAAATATTCGAACATCTTTTATTCAAGAACTGTCAAAGTGCGACCGATTGAACTTTGCCATATTTCACTTTTATAAACAATTTTTAAAAAAACTCAAAGTACAACCTAATCCGACTTAAACATAACTGTGCAAGTGTATCCTCTCACATACCTGTACTAATTGATATTCTCATCCAATCATAATTGATATTATCATCTAATCATAGTATGTTTGCACGAGTAGTTCTGCTTTTGACATCAAGACTCAAAAATAAAAATAAAAATTATACCTCGTCTTGACACCATATCTCACAAATTCGATATTGAATTTCAATATGATCCATTTCTTGATGCAACTTGGGTTATGATTTCTCCAAGAGTAATGCCAGGCATCATAAAATTTTCATTTTTTGTGATACATATCACAAAGATTAATTGTGACCCAAAAGAAATATATATTTGTTGCAACTTCAATACATGTATTTTAATTCATGCAATTTCAATACAAGTTTATTTCAATTCCATTACTTTCATGTTAGCAGTGTAGCCTTGTTAAAGTTCTTTCATCGAAGGCATAAAGAATATTTCACAATCATCTGATCGTTTCAAAAGTATTTCCTTTTATTCGACATGCCTGAGCACTTCCATTGCCCCAATTGTGTGGAACAGTAGCCTAAATATATACTAAAGATCATCACAGAATTTTACATAGAAAACCTTCAACCGAGAAAGGACACCGATATCTTCTGGTATAGAATCCAATGTCAATTTCTCCAATTTGCATAATTTCCAAATATCTACAGGAATCTCCACACGCTCACAGCTCACAACCCCCTAATCAGAAATTGTAAGATGATGCAGCTTCCCAGTTTCCAGTTGTGGAGGCAAGAGAGCTCCCAAAAGCTCATTGCAGGATTCGAATTTTGGTATCATAAAAGCTCAAGAATCTCAAAGATTATGGATTCCCCCTTATTACTAGGAAGAGGACTGCTAACACAATTGCAAATTGTGGATCCGCAGTCGCAGCTCCAATTGGATAGTTCTAAATGGATTTGATTTCATCCCTTTTTACAAATGTTTCAAGTCACGTGTTTACAGCCAATGTGTTGATTTTCTACCTTTTTAGTGACTCTTCATTAACCGTTATATTTCCCACTATCTTTCTCTCATTACCTTACAGACTAGAATACATTTAGACTATTAATAAAAGATAAGATGGATAAAAAGTTAAATAAAAATAGTAAAAATACTAATAATACATGATCAAAAACCCTTTAAAAGAATAAAAACAAAAACAGAGGAAGTCAAATTCATTTAAATCTATCCAATCACGGTCAGTCGCACTTGGTGTTCGGCAGTCCTCTTACTAGGAATGTCTTCAGCTAACTTCAATGTTTCAAAACCTATCACTTCCAACCTCCCTAACTTCCGTAACTCCTCAATTTCAACAGGTAACCTCCTTATACCAGCAACATATGAAATGTCCAGCACTTCTAAATTCTTCAGATCACATACGGAATCAATATCAACCAAATTTCTACAACCTTGAAGAATCAATATCTTTAGAGTTGCATATGATGAAAAGTCTGGAGTTCTCCTTAAAGCACAATTAGCCAGTTCTAGAACTTTCAACTTATTTGCCATCTGTTTAAAAATTAAATAAATAACAGAAAAAGATTAATTTTAATCCAGTAGATGATGAGATAGAAGAAACAAAAGTAGGGACTATACAAGACCTTGATTTGACTCCAACCCTCCCAGTCTTCAGTGATTCTGCTATCAGATAGATCAAGAATGGCTAAATTCTCCAAATGAGAATTGGTCGGTTTAAAAAACGGTGGGCAGCCACGCCAACGAAGCCATCTTAAATTGGGAAATAGGCTTTTAAAATCCCTAATAAGCTCTATGCCATCAGCTCGGAGATACCTTATATTTGTTAGTTTTGAGAATTCCTTACTTTCAAAGCGAGGCTCCTTTCCAGACCCCAATGCAAAGCAAAGAGTTAGGGCTTCAACCTTTTTGGTTCCCTGCCAATGGAAAAAAGAAGTAAACAACCTATTAGGACAACATTTCACAACCTACTACATTTAACTAAAGAAAATGTATAAAATTCAGTACACTCGAATCTTACCTTCCGTCCCTCCAATATATTCAAGGCATCCTCATGTTTCCACAACCTACTACAATTTCTCAAAAGTTCTTCTTCACAGACAATTTTCCTACCGAGAGTTCTAAACTGATCATGCATCCCAAGCTTATTAGCATCTCCTTCCACTTTTACCGACAAAGGGCATCAAATTCAATTCCGGGATGAAAGCCACAAGCGTCCCACATGTAAAATGCAGTTGTTGTATCTATCCCAGTAAAAAATTGCTCGTAATTTAATTCTTCATAAATTATCCTCCACTTTCTCTCAACTTCATCATGAGATATTTTCTTCAGCTTCTCCAGTGTATCCTCCCATACCACTTTTACTTTTTGATATAGAAATGAACCCATGACCTCAAGAGTTAGAGGAAGCCCAGCAGCATTAGATGCAACCTTGTTAGAGATACTCACATAGCCTTCCGGAGGAAACTTCCTTCCAAACGCATGAATACTGAAAAGTTGAAGAGATCGTGCAGGGTTCATAAGTGGAGGTTCAAAAGTCGCATCCACTTTAATATCATTTAAAACACTCTTATCTTTACTTGTAACTATGATCTTACTTCCTGAACCAAACCAATCACTACTTCCCACAAGCCAATAAAATTGAAAGATTTCAATCACATCGTCAAGAACAACAAGAACTTTCTTTTTGCGAAATATTTTTCTAATCACATCCAATCCACCTTCAACATCAGAAATGGCAGGACACCGTTTTTGGGTGTCAGTGAGAAGCTTTTGCTGCAAATGAACAAGACCATGAAATTGCTGCGCTGTCTCTCGAATATCTGCAAGGAAGCTATGACAATCAAAGCCCCCTTTGAAAGCATCGTAGATTAACTTGACAATAGTTGTCTTGCCAATACCACCCATGCCATGGATACCAACAATCCGTATCACTGGAGCCGATGCCTAATAATCTAATCACTTCATCAGCATGATCATCAATTCTTTGAACAATGGCCTCTATTAGTTTTCCACAATACCTGATTAGCGCCGAGATAAAAATTAGAGTAAAAAATATGAAAAAATTATGACATCCTTCTACCTTTAGTAATTCTGATTTTTAATTTATACTTAATTATTTAAATAATTTGAACAATATTCATTTGAAGTTATTTTAGGGACCAAGTGAACAAATAATACTATGATTCTTATCCTTTTGTCCTTGTCCTTGATATTGAATTTGTGATCTATCTAGTTCCAACCTATCATGAAGTTAATTTTTATGGAAGTACAACCAATAATAATAATAAATAAATAAATAAAATAAAAATTACCCAATATCATGATCAACATTAAAACCTGGAATGTCAGCAACCTCTATCAGTGATTCTTCGTGAGCGCGCGAAAGGCCTCCTCGAAACTCCCTGATTGGCGCCGCACAGAGGACGGAGAGAAGTCGTAGAAGATAGGTAGAACCACTTGTCCCTTAGTTCTCCTGCACTCCACTATTGTGGCGAGCTCGGTGAGGCACCATTTACAGGAAGCGTAGTTTTTAGACAAGATTGGGATTGCGATCTTCGACTCTTCAATTGCTTTGAGGGTCCGGCCGAACTCATCTCCTCTGCGAAACTCGTTATCTTCTTGAGTTTTAGAGGCACAGACAGTCGCTACAGCTTCACGGAACATCTCTACGACGATCTCAAAACTGCTGGAGTTCGAACATCGCTACAGCGACTGTCTGTGACTCTGAAACTCAAGAAGACTTTGTATTTGCCTCCTACAGACGCGATTAAAGATTTTATAAATTTCCTCTTTCTTTCAGGCTCCATTGACGATATTGTGGATGATCTGATCCCAGATCTCTCTTGGTTGTTGGGAAAGAAGCTCAGATTGAATCTCACACTGTGTGAGTCTGAGCAATGGATTTGGGGATTTGGGGATTTGGGTGTTGATAAAGCTCGAGACAACCCTAATAGCCAAGTTTTACTTTCACTTTTACCAGTCAAGTCGAGAACTTTCGAAGCGGATTAGTATTTTATATTGTTTATATTATTAAATAAGTTTCTAATATCGTATATTTCCTTACCAAATTAGTTTTCCTTTTCTTTATTGAATTTCAGTATTTCTTATTATATTATTTAGATAATTTAAAAAATAGTATTACTTATCAAAAAAAAGATAATTTGAAAAATAGTAAGTATTGCCGACATTATTTAAAATACCATAAATACAAAAAATAATTATTTCATAAAGCAATTTAACAAATAGTAATTATAAATACGATAATTTATACACAATATTTTCATATTTGATAAGTATTTATATAATTAATACAAAATAGATTATTTAAAGGAGTAATGATATGCGCGAAAGAGAAAATAGGAAACTCCCCCAATCTCACATGGCTAGGCCACGTCACACTTAAAAAGGTAAGAGTGCTCTCTTATATGGTAAATTGAAAGAAAAAAAAAAATGGGAAAGAAAAAAAAAAAAAAAGAGGAAATTAAAAACTCTCCAAAATTGGAGGGAGAGAGCAAAAGAAAATACTCACAAATGGGAAATTTCTTCCAGTTCTATATTTCTAAATTCACAAGGTAAAAATTCGTAAAATTATACTGTTTGAATATATTAAATTATTTTAATAAGTCAAAACTTCATTAACTATTAATTTTAACAAGGACAATACTTATGTCCAACCCAGGTTAAATGAAGTTCATCCAACCTGGATACGTGACCCAATCAGTGCATGACAAGTGTCCAACAACATTATTGGATTTAAGTTAGGTATTACTCAACTATTCGGGTTTGACCCGTTCAGAACTCATGCTTTCATAACATTGTTTCTGTTTCAAATCGTCCTGTTCTTACACTTTACCGTCACCATCATCTCAATTGCACTCAGAGTTACAGTCTACCATTGCGCTGGAGATCGAGTCCATTGTCAAATCTTTCACTCCCTAATTATCCACACAAATCACCACACATAAGCAAACATCCAAAAATAAAGCACGCCTCCCAAACAAAGCTTTCAAAGTGAGAACACACCCAAAAGCCATAAGACCCGTTTGTCAAAAGCAGAGTGAGTGTGAGTGAGTGACAGATACTGTGAGAAAAAAGAAAAAAATAAAGATAAAGAGTAGACAGACGTCAAATCATCACCATCTTCACCTTTGGCTGACAATGATATCACCACTTCCTAAACATCATCGTCACTGTAACTGGTAAACTCATCGGCGTCTTCCAAGTTCATCATCACCACCCACGCGTTCGACATGCTCCTGCGAGTAGATCTAACTCGCGCCGAACAAGCCCACGCGCCCCAATTTTGAAATCCTCCAAACCCTAGCATCAATGGTGTCAAATGAAATCTCTTGACAATTGGAACAAAACTCCCTTCTTGGTCATCATCAAAATCTTACCCTAACTCTCTCAAATGGAAGCTTGAAAACATAAAATAATAAAATGTATAGGTATAGAGAGAGAAAGAGAAGAGATAGAGAGAGAAAAGATGATGGCCGAAGTGGGAAAAGAAAGGGGGGTGGCCCTCATTGTGCCACTTGTCACCATCCTATGGTTTACTAACTTATGCTCAAGTTACTCTTTTGCTCTTCTCCTTTCATTGCAATGCCATATTTATCCCCAAAATATCTACCTCAATGTATAGATATGTGTGTATGTATATATGTGTGAAATGATAACAATGTTCCTCAATGAAAATAGAAAAATCGGGAGAAGTTCCCGAGCCCGAAAATCGTCCCGACTTCTGAAAAATTCTAAAATTAATTTTGTCACTTCTAAATGACTTAAAATAAATAAAAATGCATTTCTAAAACCCTCGGGTCGAGAAATGACATAAACAACCCTCGGGGCTCGCGTGGCACGCAAAAAATACACGAAAAATAAATGAAATAAATTTTTAAAAAAAATCCAGAAAAATATGGGACATTACCATCTACCTTCCTTAAAAGAGATTTCGTCCTTGAAATCTACCCTCCTTAAAAAGGAGGCTCACAACCGTCACTTTCCCGAAGGATGCCTCACAGAACCCGCAAGATTACGAGCTCACAAACCTTATTGCTTTTGACACCGGATGTCAATAGGTGATCACGCATCACTGATACTAGAAACACAATGCTCACCACCCTATGTGGGTACCCATCACACAACATCTTAACACGCAAAACATTGGATTCCATAACTGGCTCAAAATTGACACCAGGCACACTATACACATCCACCCAAAGCTCCAAGGCTCACTAGAAAAACGGTCACTAGACCACCAACATAATGACATCCAACCTCAACTCATCCCTTAAAAGATACATAACCCAAGACAAAGGATCCCGACTACTATATAACAAGCCTCAACTCTAAGTCAACAAGTCCCCGACGAACCATACATATGCTTTATAATACGTAGCTACTCCATCATATAACTATATAATTGATTACCAATCGTAACATCTAGTATCATTATACTTAATATGTCTCAAAATGGCTAAATAACGAATATTCCAACGACTGCCTAAACATGAGTCACTCAAACAATAAGGTGTACTATCAAGTACTCAAGACACAAATCCCCAAAAAATAACTCAAGAATTAAATTATCTGACCATTAACTTCGTCGGACATGTAGTCCTGTAAAAAACACCTTATCATCCAAAACAAACTACTTGAATCTATTAAACACAATCGTCTCTAACTAAAAATCTTTTTCAGACAAAAACCATACCGTCACATTGACGTAACGTGCAACACGACGCTCTCACTATCGCTAATCACTCAAAACAGTCATTGACCTTTGACCCAACATCGCACTCAAGAGTGATTGACTCAGGAGAAATGGTTGGCTATGCCATTCTCATCATCAATCCAATCTCAACACCAATGGAGTTCTCGTCCTTAGGTCTAAACCTCAAACATAGTATCTCACACAGTTCATAAGACAACCATAAGAGTCATTCATTATACATTCACTGTTCTATGCAACCTTGACTGTTATACAGTCATACATACTGCTCTAACAATCTCGATTATACCTTTATCATGTGACTCATAAAGAGTTGAAAATAATGCAGTACTGAATGCCACTAATCGTAAAAGCTCTCCGGTCCATTCCTAATAACCTAAACCAGGGAAAATGTTGTGTCCCGGATTTTTTTGGATTTTTCATTAGTTATTTATTTATTTATTTTATTTATTTTTCGGGCATTATTTTATTTTAAGTGGTGTCGGTACATTTTATTGCATTATTTATTTAATGTGTGCCATTGTGATGTTATATATGTGTGTGTGTGTGTAATATTATATATATATGTGTGTGTGTGTATGTGTGGTTGTGAGGGAGTTAGGGGGAGAAGATATTGTTGGGACATGTTTGATGTTGCTGTTATAAAGGGAGGTTAGCTTAGTACTTTGGTTAGTCAAGGCTCGAAGACCAAATGCAAGCCAGACATTTTTGAGTGGCTAGGAATGGGTCCTTTAACTAAACACACCAACTATATCACCTACCCATCATTTTCTCTCCCTCATTTTCGGTACTCTTTCTCTTTTCCTCTATTTCCTTTTCTTTTTCCTCTCCTCATTCTCTCTGAAAAATCTCCAAGTTAGAGGGAGATTCTTGAGAAGCCATAGTTGAGAAAGTTGTAGATCTTGGCAAGGGGATCATTTTGGCACCAGTCTTACAAGTATTTGGGTGGATTCCGGGTTTGGATCTTGAGGTAGTGAAGTCTAAACTACAAGGTCTTGGGTTTTTATGATTTTTCTCTATATGATTTTGTGGATAACATGCTTACGTGGAAGATTTGTTCATGTTTGATGAGGTTCTTAAGATTTGGTTTGCTTCATATGAGTTCATGTTATATGTATATATGAAGATGCGTTTAATTTGGCCAAAAGCATGCTATTGTGACGATAATGATGTGTATATGTTGATTCTTAAGTTCTTAAGAATTTATATATTGATGATGATGATACATATATTTAAATTCTTTAAAAAATGATGATAAGAGATGCATAACTTGCATATCATGGCCATTGGTTGGGTTGGGTTGGAAATGATGTTTTATGGTTTTCAACCATTTTAAAAGATTGATTTTGGAAAGTTTTAAAAGGATTTGGAAATGGTATTGTGAAAACGGATGCCATGGAGTTGTCATGTGTTCCAAGGTTAGCCAACTTAAAAGGGGGTACAAGACGGATTGGACATGTATAATTGAACTACCTAGGCCTCAAATGATGCTAGGGAGACGTCTTAGGTGAGGGATAACTAGTCAATTTCCTTTGAGTCCCAAATAACGCTTAGGGTCGGGTTGTGTTAACATTTTCGGTGTGGGTTATGTTATGACGGAAATGGTTTTGGGGAAATAGTGAGAGTGCATTCATAGTGTTCATCTCATTATTGAAAAGCATGAAAGTTTAATGTTGACGCTTAATTATTACTTTTCCCCAATTTGTATACGATCCTTCTTTCTTGTACCCTATGCTTTGTGTGTGATTCACGGGATTACAAGAGATGTATTTTAGGCCATTTTTACCGAGCCGTTGTGCTCACCTTATATTTAACATTTTTCAGGAAATTGATGTGCCCTTACAAGCTTAGTTTTAGCTTGATGTTATCTTTTGTAATCATTTTGCAAAGGCATTCTTTTGGATATTGTGGCATGTACTGTGATACCCCTCGGATCCGAGACACGGGTTGATCAGGCCCAGGCCCGAGCCCGAGGGAATATCAAACAATTAAAGTATTTATAATGAACACGGAATACAAAATGAATTAAGAAATGAAATTAAAGCTGAAAAGAACTAAAAACAGAATCCGTAAAATATTATAATTATTAAAATCCATCAAACCCAAACTCCATAACTCCATCAGTTTACAACTCGGGAATCCATCCATTGGACCCCTTATTTAAATTCTCCAAACGATACTGAAATAATAAAAACAAAATCCAAAGCTAACATAGAGAAAATTCCTACATAATCAGAGGAGTGAATAGCTGTATC